ACAGTAATTCCGAAAAAAATTGGGATTGTTAATTGGCTAGCGATGGTACCCCGCGATTTTTAGGTTTTTGTGAAACATACTTTTTTAATCATTTAAATTCCACGAAATTATGCATACATTCATTAAGACCAAAGACCATTTCTGCAGTCATGCGGACCGCCAAAAAAGCGGGCAATTTCTTCGAGAAGTACAAGCCGTTTCCCTGTCCTCCATTTCTCTCTCTCTCTCTCTCTCGCTCTGTCTCTCTCACTCTCTCTCTCTTTTCCCCCCTTTTTTGCCGAAGCTCATTAGCACTCAACATGGCCTGATAACGGCCTTTTAGCCCCTTTCCGCCGGGCCGGAAAACGTTTATATAAGCCTTCCCCTGAGCGGCGCCACAAAAATTTGGGACCAGGCAGGCTGGCAGAGACCATTTGGGGAAAATTTTTTAATTGCGCGAAAAATCATAAAAATCGCATAAAAACTCCAATTTTTTGACGGGAATCCCTGAACTGGTAGCCAGACTACAGACTACAACCCTTGAAACGAGACTACAAACTACTGAAAGGCTACCAGGCGCACGACCCGGGTTCGACACCCGGCCGCGGCCAGCTTTTTGCTTTTTGAAATTTTGGTTGTTGTATGGCAGTAATCCCTAAACTGGCCACCAGACTACAACATGCAATCCTTGGAAAGGGACTACAGACTACAGAAAAGCTACCAGGCGCACGACCCGGGTTCGACCCCTGGGCGCGGCGAGCTTTTTGCTTTTTGAAGCCTGAGAGTAGTTTTTGCTTGGCATAGCTAAACTGACAGCCAGACTACAAAATACCACTCTCAGAATGGGACTAAAAACTACGGAAAAGCTGCCGGGTTCATGACCAGGGTTCGACCCCCCGCCAGCGGGGAACTTTTTGCTTTTTAAATTTTGAGCTAATTTTTCTATTGGAACCCTTTAACTGGCAGCCAGATAGCCTCGAAATCCACATTTTAGCGAAATACGGCTGCCTACAAAAACAATGTTGCATTAACGCCATGGAATGAAAAATTTTGGAGATCGTCTAATATATGAAAATTTTGCAATTTTGTAATTGTTGCTAAGCTCTTAATAAAAGCTGCCAGTCACGATAAAAATCAAATGTAAAAATAACGCATAAATAAAAAAATAAAAATCATCAAAAAAGAGTTACGTTCAATGAAAAATTGTGAACGATGAGATGTTTCGACAAAAATATAAGCTGTCGAAAGATGCGGCGATGCTAATAACGTTTCGTTACGTTTTGTAATTTTTCGATTTCGGCAAATGAAGAAACCCAAAAATTAAAAAATTAAATAAAAAAATCACGAAAAAATGGTCGTCCATTTTTTAATTTTCGATAATACTAATCGATAATTCTTCCAAAGAAAAATGTTCCATCAAAAGTGAAGGTAAAACAAATTTCATGTCGTTAATTCCGTAGTTTTCGAATGTTAGTAATAATTCAACCCACTTAGAAATTATTTAACTTTTCAGGAAATAAATGATATTGTTATCATAATTTTAATCGGTTTGTGTTTTAGAATACTAAAGGTATTCCGAGGCTTTTTCAAAATTAAAAAAATATCTTTTAAGTAGCTGTAATCCTGGAATAATCCCAGTTTTGGCAATTCTCGTGTCTGTTCTATCTCAATCTCGTGTCTCAAAAAAAATTTCGGATTTTGCCAAATTTTGCCAAATAAAGTAAATAAAATATATACCTTATATAACCTTCAAAAATCACAAATTTTTCAAATAAAAAAATATGTTGCATACAAGATATCAAAAGGCAAAATTTCGTGGCGTTTAATGGATAGTGGGATGTAAGGCAAAGAATTTAACTGTTCCGCTTTTCAAATAAAGTAAATAAAATAAACACGTAATTATACTTCAAAATCACGATTTTAAAATCTGCGGTTTTCAGCTCAAAAATATGTTCCATTCAAACTATAAAAAATAAAATTTTTTATAACTTTTAATTGGACGTGGGCACGGAATTTTCATTTTGTTTGTAATTTTCGGATTTTGCCGAATAAAGTAAATAAAATAAATACGTAATTATACTTCAAAATCACCATTTTAAAATCTGCGGTTTTCAGCTAAAAAAGATGTTCCATCAAAACTACAAAAAAAATAAAAATTGTTATAACTTTTAATGAGGATCGAATTTTCATCTTGTTTGCAATTTTACGATTTTTGCCAAGATAAGTAAATAGAATAAAGACCTTCCCTATACTTCAAAATGACAATTTTCGAGATATATATTTTCAATTAAATAAATAAATCACTCGCATCACTATTATTTTGCAATTTTTCGATTTTTGCCAAATTAGCAAATAAACGAGATAAAAAGATGGCGATAAGTGCCACACGTACAGGGTGCGTCAAAAAAAAAAAGCCAAGTTTGCACTAAAATATCTCGCTTATCTTTGAGAATCGAAGGTACGTTACCATGCCAGAATGCTTAAATATGCTGGGTATGAAGATTTAACACAACTTGATTTTTTCGATTTTTGGCGACGTACCCATACAAATGACACCCGAAAACTGTGCGTTCCGGCAAAACTTCGTTTGCCTTTTTTAGGTTTGCTGGTGCTCGAACACTTCCAATTTTTACAGTGTAGGTACCTAAGGACTGCCCCTACGTACATCCGGAATTTTGGAATTTTCGAAGGTCTGGTTGGCAAGTTATAGCATGCTCAAATTTAATATGGAGAAATTTCGTAAATTTCGAATATTACAAAAACCTATGGTAGAAACCTCAGAACAAGCTGTTTTAGCATGTCTATAGGCTCGATACAATCCCGCAAAAATATCAAAAAATTTTTTCAGATCCGCGGATTTTTGAGTTTTTCGACGACCCCCTGGTCATGGATTCTTTCGAGGTCACGAAACTGAACTTTGGAAAAATATTTCTAAAATTGCAGATAGAATTTCGGTGTTTTCTTTGCTTCGCTGTGTAGGACTGGGGTCCATCTATCATGTACACAATTTCTAGCTACCGTACACCTTTGGAAGGTTGCTTTTTAGCGCCTCCAAAACGGTTGGTTCGTGCTATTTCGCAGACCTTGGTGCCAGTCTATAAAATTCATTTGCGCGGCTAGAATTATTGTCATGATTTTATTTGATACTACTTAATTGGCGCATTCTAAGATTATCTTTACAAATTTATTGGGCCATCCGATCTCTCAAAAGAAATTCATGAAGAGCCCGAATATACCCGACTTTGAGGCGACGTAAAAAAATTCTCGAAGGTTTAGTAGGCCCGACTTTTCTGGCATAAACTCAGCTTGGGTAATCAACTAGAACCCATGCAAATATCAACCCTTTTCATGGCAAACGAATTTAGAAGAACTCCCCAAAGTCGGCTTTTCAAAAAACGTTATTTTCGAGTTTTAAATCAAAATTAACCATTAACTTCATCCAGATCATTTCAGAATTCTGCTTTCATACACTGTTCGATGCGTACGTTAATTGTATCCACCAAACCCCGGTGCCTTTTTCATTTTCAAAAATTCGATTTTCGAGCAAGGGCGTCGGGTCCAAAATCGGGGCACGAGGGGGGTTTTGCTCTTTCCTTCATAACTTTGTCATTTGCGACAGGAATCAAGTAATTTTTGTAGGTACTCTTACAATCACCCAGCGAACAGTCTAGAATAGAGAAAGTGACATTTTATGGCATTTTGTCTTGGCATGCTAAAACGCGCTCCAGGCGGGTTACTGTAGAAAACAGAAAATCGTCGTTTTCTCGTTCTTTTCACCATAGAAACGTTTCGATCTGTCAGGAAAACAAATAATAGTAGTTTTTAGTCCGATGCATCGAAGTATTTAGAAATTTCCGTGGCTAAATTCAAAAATAAGTTTTTTGCATATTTTGGGAAGGTATATGGCTAGAACTCCACGATCTTTGGCCAATAGGTGACCCTTACTGATGTTTACCAATGATAAAATTTTAAGCGAAACCGCAGCTTACAATAAAAAGAAAAACGCGAAAAACGAAAACTACAGTATCCCTCTGGGGCACGTTTTAGCAAGCAATATTAAAACACCATAGAATCAGGTAAAATTTGGTGTTGTGCTAAAGACTATCATTCGGAGACACCATCTGCAAAAGATCAGCCATGGACAGCGTATTTGAAGCGAGTTGCGAATTAAAAAGTAAAAATAAGCAAAATAGGGAAATTTGTTTTGCCTGTAAAAAAAGAACTAAACCTTCAAAAATTCTAAGACTTTGCTATTATTTTTCTACAAATGTCAACTATTTTTAGGCCAAAAATCAGAATTTTCCCACCACCCGTTCAAGAACGCACAATTTTCGGTCGTAACCAGCGTCAATAGTACAGTTGCGTACTCAAAAATCGAAAAAATCAAGTTGTGTTAAATCTTCATACCCAGGATAGTTAAGCATTCTGGCATGGTAACGTACCTTCGATTCTCAAAGATAAGCGAGATATTTTGGTGCAAACTTGGCTTTTTTTTTTGACGCACCCTGTAAAATTAGTGTTTTCATTTTTCCATTTCAGATGAAAAAATTTAACGAAAAAATGTTTCACGAAAAATGGAGATCGCGAAAAATTCATGTAGTTAATAAGGCGATTTGACATGTCCCTATGATCAAAAGCTACAAACTACAACCCTCATTTTGTAGCCTGTAGCCCTCGGCATTGCATGGCGTAATCGAATGCGCCCAAAACACAAAAACTCATAAAAATCGCTTTATTTAAACAATCGCGGGAATCGAGTACGGTACAACGGGATACGGTAGACGGTACAAAAAATGCGATACAAAAAACACAAAAAATCCAGAAGTCGAGTACGGGAAGGTACAAAGTACACGAGTACGGTAGGGGCGGAAATGGGGGCGTGGCCTCGGTAGTACCGTAGGTGGAAATTAAGGAAGGGCGCGTGTCTTTCAGTTTGTTTTTTGCTAAAATCTACAGTAAGCTACACAGTACGAATTTTCTAAGCGGAAAAGGGGGCGTGGCCAAAAAGGGGGCGTGGCCTAGGTCTTGGCGCTTTTGCGGCATTGGATGTCCTTGAGCGGCTCCTTCACCGGTTTCCGCTCCTTCTTCGGCTGGCGGTACGCCTTGTCGAACCAGGTGACTGAAAAAATGATTGATTTTTGCGGAAATTTTGCATTCTGGATTTTCATGGCATAATCGGCTGGCCGAAAAATGCGTGAGGGTCTAACTTTTTGTAGTTTGTAGCTAGTGCTCAAATTCTTTTTGGAATGGCTTAGCTGGCAGGTAGGCTACAAACTACAAGTAACATTTGGGTGGCAGTGATCCTTAGAATTAAATGGCGTAATCGAATGGCACAAAAATGGAAAGCGTGACTTTGCGTTATCCGAGTAGGTCTCACTTTTTGTAGTTTGTAGTTAGCGCGCCATTCTTTTTGCGGTTAGCTAAACTGGCAGTCAGGCTACAAAGTACAAGGGTAATTTGGGCCACAACAAGCACAGAATTTGATGGCGTAATCAAATATCTCAAAAAATGGTTCAATCGCGTCTAACTTTTTGTAGTTTGTAGTGTAAAATCTAATTCTTGCGTGAATAGGTAAACTGGCATCTAGGCTACAAGATAAAATAGTTTTTCCGCTGCCTGTAGCCCTTGGAATTAACTGGCGTAACCCAATAGCCCAAAAACGCACCCGAAATCTGCGGATTCCACTTGACCTTCCTGGGGTGGGGCTCGGGCTTGAGCTTCTTCTTCGTGTTCGACTCGGGGTAGAGGCGGATGACGGATTCGACGGTATTCGTGAAGAGATGCGTCTCCCGCTCGAACAGCTTGTCCATCTGCTTCATGTTTTCTGCAAAAAACGCCGGAAATCGTCTGAATTGAGCTAGCAGAGAGCATTTGGGGTGCTGTAGTTTGTAGTCTGCCAGCCAATTTAGCAGTTCCCAACAAAATTTGGACTCAAAATTCAAAAAGCAAAAAGTTAGCCGCGGCCGGGGTCCAACCCTGGACTTGAGATTGGCAGCTTTTTTGTAGTTTGTAGACCAACGCTAGCTTTTGTAGTTTGTAGTCTGGCTGCCAGTTTAGCTTTTCTCACCAAAAATTCACTTCAAAGTTCAAAAAGCAAAAAGTTTGCCGCGGCCGAGGGTCGAACCCTGGTCTTGAGATTGGCAGCTTTCTGTAGTCTGTAGCCTCGCGTCGAAAGTTGTAGTTTGTAACGTGGCCACCAGTTTATAGATTCCCGGAAAGAATTAGGGCGCGACGACAAACTGCAAAAAAATTAGAGGAATTTTTCGAACTTTTTGGAAAAAGGTTGGAATTTTTTGGGTGTCGACAAGCTAGCAGAGGTCATTAAGGATTCAGAAATTGCTTAACTGGATGTCAGTTTAACTTTTATCAAGGGCAGGCTAGCAGAGATTTTTGCGGAATTGGAAAAAATCGCCCGTACCAACAGTATCAAACGGATCCCATTTCTCCTTCCTGAACGGGGCCTTGTCGAGCTTCTTCTCTCCGGTGACCACCTTCTCGATGATGTCCGAGTCGATGGGGAGGTCGTCCTCCGTCACCTCCTCGTCCTCCTTCTCAACCGTCCAAAACGGCTGCCCGTTTTGGAGGCAGCGCTTCGCGTTGTTGCCCTGAAAACGGCAACTAATTTTTTGCATTTTTGCTTTTGATTTTTGCGCAAATTCTGTTGTATATCCGTAAACTGGCATCCAGGCTACAAACTACAACGCTTACTTTGCGGCTACAGACTACAGCAATCCTACCAGGCGAACGACCCGGGTTCGATCTCCGCCGGGGCAAAACTTTTTGTGTTTTGGAAATCGAGATGATTTTTCAATTCGCGTGGCTGCACTGGCAACCAGACTAAAAATTACAATCGCAAAAAACCAGCTACAGTACCCCTAGACGTCATTTGGATCGATTCAAAAGTTCCAAAATCGCAATTTTCCCATGTTCTGCCCCCTTTAAGTGGCTAGATCTAGGGATCGGGTAGATGATAGTGTGATTTCCGATGAGAATCCCGAAAATCTGTTTCCCGAAAATCTGATTCCCGAAAATCTGAATCCCGAAAAATCTGAATCCCGAAAATCTGATTCCCGAAAATCCGATTCCCGAAAAATCTGAATCCCGAAAAATCCGTTTTCCGAAAATCCGATTCTCGAAAATCCGATTCCCGAAAATCTGAATCCCGAAAAATCCGAGCCCCAGTATCCAAACCTGGAAAGACCGCGCTCTGAAAAGCCAAATTGGAAGAAATCAAAGTTAAAAATTAACTTTATTGAATTCACCGTCTTGGAAGTCGCCCAGGAACTTTAGAAAGGATTTTGGTACAATTCAATAGGCGGGGGGTGAGGATTTCGGCGGGGGGAGGTGGGCCTATAGGCAGAGGGGGTGCCTGGAAAGCAGGGCGGGCGCGGAGACGCAGATTGCCCCCCCGCCTGAATCTCCCTCCCCCCGCCTCGTTGAATTGTACCAGGGTTTTTTTTCAGTTCACGCACCGCAGATTCTTCAGATTCAGATTTTTCGGGAAACAGATTTTCGGGAAACGAATTTTTCGGGATTCAGATTTTTCGGGAACCGGATTTTCGGGATTCGGATTTTTCGGGAATTCTATTTTCGGGAATCGGATTTTCGGGAAACGGATTTTCGGGAATCAGATTTTCGGAAGTATAAGCGAACCCCGATAGTGTTGGGATGTGATAGAACTCATTCTCCTCTTTCGAATAGATCATAACAATCATCTACAGTACCCCCAAATGTCAACAGGAATCACGCGGAAAATCGGGAAAATTGGGATTTTCACGAAATTTTCAAAGTCCTCTAATTTTTTGTGGTTTGTAGCTAAAACCCTAATTCTTGCAGGAATCGCTAAACTGGCATCCAGACTACAAACCACAACCCACATACCAAGGCTACAGACTCCGAAAGCCGACCTTTTTCTCCTTGCTGCTGCCCCCGTCCTCGTCCTCCTCATCATCCTCCTCGGCCTGTCCTCCGTCTCCGCAGTCTTCCTTCTCCTTCGCCTTCTTCTCCGACCCTAGGAAATCGGAGGTACTGTGCTCTTTACGGGGGGGGGGGGGGGGGGGGGCAGAGAAAAAGCAAAAAATAGAAATGCCGGAATTTCGAAAAAATGTCGAAAAATCAAAGACTAACAAAATTCGTTTTTTCTATCCTATAAAATCTGGAACTATTCTCTTTAACGGGGGAGTGGAAAAATTGGTAAAAATTATGAAAATCCTCCATATTTTTAGGTTTTTAAAAAATTAGAAAATCTCAAAAATCAGAAAATCCGAAAACCCCGAAAAATACCGAAAATCTGGTTTTTCGCTCTTTTCGAATATGGTACTATTCTTTTTACGGGGGGGGGGGGGGGCTTACGCGAGGAAATATTCTTTCCGGAAAAAATTTTAAAAATCAAAAAAGTCCGAAAATTTTCGAAAAAATGCCGAAATTTCGAAAAAATGTCGAAAAGGGCTGAAAAATATCGACGTTTTTCGACAACCAGTACCTTTCTGGGATCGCTGATTGGCGTCGGCCGTTGTGGTTGGCTGTGATTGGGTCATGATCTTGTTGCTGCTCGCCTCGGCTTTCGCGCCTTTTGGCCTGCAAAATGGCTTGCCTGCCCCTTTAAAATCGAACTCCAGTCTTTTAAAGGCCCGTTGGAGGCTGAAATCCATAGGCCGCTTGCCAGTTTGGCTGCTCAATTCTGCTCAACTTCGCCCCACAGCCGAAGGATCTCAAAGTTTTCGGTATTTTTCGCTTATTTTGGTCGGGATTTTTGCAACGCCATTCGATAGAGCGTCGAAAAATATACTAAGAGTTTTAATTTGAGCCTACAATAATGTAAAATGAAAAAGTTATAGCCAAAATCTTCCGGCTGGGGGGGGGGGTAAAGTAAACCGTAGCCGGGACCTTAATTTAGCTTAAATTATGAATTTAATTAAATTAATGAAAACCGATTTGGCGTACTCCTTGGCCTCGTCGTTCTTCTTCTTCTTCATTTTCTTGCCGAACCAGCACGCGAATTGGCCGTTGGGGCGCTGGTTCAGGTAGTAGGCCTTTCGCTCACCGAATCCCATCTGGGCACCGCGGCGACGCCTCGGGAATGACTGGAAAAGGGGTGTAGTTTGTAACCCGTTTGCCAGTTTGTAGTTTGACGTGTAGTCTGTAGCCTAGAACAGAGTCCAGTTTGTAGTTTCTAGCCTAATTCGGGCCTATAGCCCATTTTTAGGCGAAATTTGTAGTCTGTAGTCCACGTCCATTTTCTCATTTGTAGTCTGTAGTCTGGCTGGCAGTTTGTAGTTTGGCTCGTAGTCTGTAGTCCAGATTGTATTTTGTAGTCTGTAGTCTAGTCAAAATCTGCTTTGATCCCTAATAACCCAAAAAAATTCTCGTTGTGGTTTGTAACCTGTGCGCTAGGTTGTAGTCTGTAGTCTGAAGCTGTAGTCTGGCAGGCAGTTTATGGTTTGCAACAATTTCCTAGTTAGCCTGTAGTTTTCGTGATTTTCCAGGCTGGATTCTGTAGCTCGCCGTAGCTTGGAATGTTTAGGTTGTATTTTGTAGTCTGTAGTCCCGATCTGTAGTCTGTAGTCCAGATTGTATTTTGTAGTCTGTAGTCTAGTCAAAATCTGCTTTGATCCCTAATAACCCAAAAAAATTCTCGTTGTGGTTTGTAACCTGTGCGCTAGGTTGTAGTCTGTAGTCTGAAGCTGTAGTCTGTCGGGCAGTTTGTAGTTTACAACATCGTCTCTAGTTTTAAAATGTAGTTTTCGTGATTTTCCAGGCTGGATTCTGTAGCTCGCCGTAGCTTGGAATCTTTAGGTTGTAGTTTGTAGTTTTTAGCTTGATTTTGTAGCCTGTAGTCCAGTTTGCAGTCTGCCCACATCATCCGACGTCCGCAGACAGGCGGAAGTGCGTGGGCGATACTCGTAGAGGATCTGCTTCTTCCGGTACTCGATGTAGTTCTTCTCCTCTTCCCGGGCGTCCTTGCTGAAAATTTGGGGTTTGGAGGCTGTAGGCTGTAGTCTGGCTGCCAGTCTAGCTATCCCAATCAAACAATCCGCTAAATTTTCAAAAAGCAAAAAGTTTTGCCGCAGCCGGGGGTCAAACCCGGACCTACCTAACGATTCTTTTGTAGTTTGTAGCGCGCAAAGCAAGGTTGTAGTTTTTAGTCTGGCTGCCAGCTGAATCAACAGAATGGGAACTCGTTAAAAATTCAAAAAGCAAAAAGTTAGGCGCACCCGGGGGTCGAACCCGGGTCGTGCGCCTAGCAATTTTTCTGTAGTCTGTAGCCCGAAAACAAAAGTTGTAGTCTGTAGTCTGGCTGTCAATTTAGCAATGCAAATAAGAAAATTCACGAAATTTTCAAAAAGCAAAAAGTTTTGCCGCGGCCGGGGTCGAACCCGGGTCGTTCGCCTAGTAATTTTTCTGTAGTTTGTAGCCCTAAAACAAGAGTTGTAGATTGTAGTCTGGATGTCAATTTGCGTATTCCCCGCACTTACATGGCCTGTTTCTTCAGCTGAACGGAAGCCATGGCCTTTTTGAGCTGAAGCTCGGAGATGGCCTTTGGAGCGGCGAGTATTCCTTGATCTTCTCCTGCTCCTCCTCCTTCTTTTGCTCCTTCTCCATCCGCTTTTGTGACGCCGAGCGTCCATTTATCCTCAGCCGGCATCCCTCAAAAAAATCAATAAAAAAATGGATTTATATGGCGTAATCGGTTCGGAAATTCTTTGCATTTTATCCCGTTTTTAGCACTTTTCGGAATTTTCAAAACAGCCTATTGAATAGCGTAATCGATTATACCCCGAAAAAAGCAAAAATTCTAGTTTTATGGCGTAATCAGCTCAAAAAAGATTTTGAAGCTTTTATAGCGTAACCGGTTTCTAAAGGCGTATAAAAAAGCTAAAATCGTGTCTCAAAGTTCTAAAAAGTTGCCTATTTAATGGCGTAATTGATTACACCCGAAAAAATAAAAAAAATTGGTTTTCAATGGCGTAATCGGATTAAAAAAAATCGAATTTGATCGCGTAATCAAAATCGGAAGAAATTTAGATTGCGTAATTGAATCCCGAATTTCATGGCGTAATCGAATCGAATGGAAAACCCACCGGAAAAGCGAAGCCGACGATAGCCAACCGGCCGGAGTGGGGAATGGGGAGAAAATCTACGAGTGCGGCTCGAAAAATCGCGATTCCCCGGCGGGATGCAAATTCGAGTTATTGATCGAGTTATGAGTTATGGATCGCCCTCGCAGTGGCAGGCAAACGAGCAGAAACCCCTGTGGAAATTCCGCGCAATGGGCAGCTGCTTGAATGTTAAAGGCTGCGTGACAGATCGATTCGAGCAGGCTGACAGCGATCATTGTGGAAATCTCAGGGCAGCTAGCAAAAATTTTTGAGGAATCGGGCCAGCTAGCAGAGACCCATTGCGGAATCCGTGGCAGGCTAGCAGAGGTTTTTGCGGAAATTGAGGCCGCGAGCAGAGAGGGTTTGCGAAACCTAAAAGGGGCGTTATAGGCCAAATAGCAGCGACCATTTGCGAAATTCACGAATTCAAAACGCTAGAGATCTTTATTACAGCTCTTTCCGGGGGCGCATAAAATCACAAAAAACACCCAGTTTCACAAAAAAATTCGAAATTCAATTCACAAGTAGAAAAAATCAATTTAAATCCGAAAAATGCGTCGTAAAATCGAAAAAATCGTATATTACAGTATTACAGTATCCACTACACGGTATCTAGATTATTACAGCATGCATAAAAAGGCGAAAAACGGCGTGGCAAGAGTACAAAATGGAAAAAAAAACCGTAAAAACCTGCCAAAAAGAGTTACGGTAATTTTCTAGCAAAAATTAAATGATGGAAATGGCGATTTTTGGGCGTTTTTAAGCAATTTCAGCGATTAAAAAACCATTTTAAAAATTGTAGAATTTTTCCAATTACGGTAACTTTCTACAAAAATTAAAGCGCAATTTAAAATATTAAAAATCGATTTTTTGAAATTTCTAAATTACAAAAATCGAATTTTCAATTTTTTTCAATAAATTTTTAAGTTTTTAAACCTGAAAAAACACCCAAAAGCGTTAGAAAAACACAAAAAATCCCCGAAAAGGGATTACTGTATTTTTTATCAATTTAGAATTTTTAAAATTAGAAAAAAGCAATTTTCAATTTTTTAGACTTTGTTTTCAATTGTTTAACGTCAAAAATCACCTAAAAGTCGCCCAAAAACGCCAGAAAAACGCCTAAAAATCGCTAGACTACAAACTACAACGGCCGGGGGCTACGCGAGTGTACAAATTACAGGGAATCGCCAGAGAGAGAGAGCATCTACAGTACGCCAAAATTCACAAAAACGTCGAAAAACGCGATTTTTTGCGAGTAAAAAATCAGTGAAAATGAGCACGAGAGGGGAAAGAAGGAGCAAGACAAAGGAGATCAGCAAAAATCACACACACAACGAGTTCAAGGCGTTCAGCCGGCAGGCGACAGTTCAAGGCGTTCAGCCGCGTTGATCATCTACATCATCTGCTGCTGATGCTCCGTCTCGACATTTCGATGGCCTCCTTCTCCTTGAGGGCCGAGATGCAGCTCACTTGGCTCTTTCGGCGGGAGGAGGAGGGGCAGGCAGGGTCGTCGGGCAGACCTGAAAAAAAACGTAAATTATTGATTTAAAAATTAAACGTTAAAACTATTAAAATCAAAAATTAAATTAATTACAATATTTTCATTAAAAAATTGAATTTAAAATTAAAATTAAAACCAACATTAAATTTAAAAATCCCTTTAAAATTCCTCGCCCCCTTTCTCCAAAACTTAAAATATTAATTCCAAAAATTAAAAATTTCCAAATAATCCCTGCTAGCTGCCTAAATTCCTAAATTATCACTGCTAGCTTGCCCGGCAATTTTAGAAAATCCCTAAAAATCTATGCTCGTTTACCCAAATTCCACAAAATTCCTAGAGATTTTCTGCTAGCCTGCCCTGCTTCAAAGTTCCTTAAAAACCCCTGCTAGCTGGCCCCTAAAAATCCCCAAATAACCACTGCTCGTTGTCGCAAAACTCGAAAAATTCTCCGAAACGCGCTGGTTGGCTCCCTCTAAAATTCCCAAGTAACCTCTGCTCGCCTTCCTAAATTCGAAAAGCCTTAAAATTCCTCAAAAATCCCTGCTAGATACCCGCCCAAAACCCGCTTACCCATTTCCCTTCGGTAGATGGCCTGATCGCGGAGTACTGTTAGCGCCGCCACGAAGAACAGGATCACCTGGAAAGGCCGACGAGTTCAAGGAGTTCAGGGACCAAAAATTGCTCAAAACGTCTCTGCTAGCTCGCCCAAAATGTAAAAATTGAAAGCCGGCTAGCATAAAAGATTAAAGAACGGGCGACGAGTTCAAGGAGCTCAACAAACAAATTCGAGAGCCACAGAGAGAATAAAAGGCTCTAGGAGTTCAGAAAAGCTCTGGTAGCGAACGACGAATTGAAGACGGTCAAACGAAATATTAACAGCGGTAGTCTAAGCGCCCGACGAGTTCAAGGGGTTCAAAAACAGTCTTTTTACACAATAAACTGTGCTACCCTGGCTAAAATTTAAAAATCTCGGGCAAGCCAGCAGCGACAATTTGCGGAAACGTACCGATAGTAAGCACATGGCATTTGGGATGTAGAATGCGGTGCGAAGGGAGACGAATCGATCCCATGGAGTGTCACGGTGCTCACGGAAACGATCCGATAACTGAAAAAAATGTGATTTTATCAAAAACGACGGGTTCAAGGAGTTCAAAACCCAGAATTCCGCAATGAGAGTAAGAGATGGAGAGAGAGACAGAGAGAGAGAGAGAGAGAGAGAGAGAGAAAGAGAGAGAGAGACGGGAAGAAAAAGCTTGCCCCCGGAAGGTATCAAATTTCTTCGGCCCGCCGATTCTTAACGGCTTCCAAAAGTGTAAGAAGAGTAGAAAACGACGAGTTCAAGCAGTTCCACAAATTCCTCACCATTCCGATCAAGTACGGGCCGGCGGCATCGCCGAAAAGATGGGAGATCAGGATTTGCCACGCGTTCGACGAGTTTCTCCTGGAAAAAAACGCACGATTTTATAGGTCACGTAGAATTTTTGTAATTTTTCGAAATAGAACTCTTGAAATCTGGGTACTTTTGCATTATCGGGGGGGGGGGGGGGGGCAACTATTCCTAAACGAAAAAATTTACAATTTCGCGGAAAAATACAAAAATATCGATTTTTTTTTTGTTATCCAAATACCCCGGCTAAAAATTTTTTCTCGTTTTTTTTTAGAATTGCCTTCGCAATTTAACGAAAAATCTCAGCAAAAAACACGATTAAAAATTCACTTTTTAATTAGAAACTTAACTGTTTAAAACTTATCTATAGAAGAAAATGGGTCCCCCCGATAATGCACAAACGTCAAATTCACCATTTTTTTTTTGAAAAAAAAAAACGCCTCTCACCTCCAGGGGACGACGACGCTCATCTGCAGATCGACGTTGATGGCCCAGTTGAACGAGAGCCCCGTGATCGTGATGAACATCAACGCCTGAAATTTGAATAAATTCATAAAATCCGGAAATCCGCTAATTTGCATAATTTTTCTCCTGGTATAAAAGGCAAAAAGGGGCAGAAATGACACGACGACTCTCCCAAATTCTCCCTCTCTCTACTCCACTTTCTACGAAAAGTTTCGGTAGGTTGTTTTGGCTGATTTATCGGATTTCCGCAAATTTCCTCTGCTTGATTGCCCCGTTTCTTTCAGCAATTCAACAATTTGTACGGGTGATGCTGTCGCAGTTAAGTCTTAACGGAGCCGATGAGGAGGAAGATGGACGACGACTTGAAGGAGGAGGAGGCGGCGAGACGTCCAAGGCTATGCCACCCACAAAGTATGCGAGCAGGGATTCTTTGAGAAAATCCTGGCAAACGAGCAGCGACAATTTTGGCACTTAGGGTAGCTAGGAGAGGCAATTGGGGAATTTTTACAAATTTTAGGGGCAAGTTAGCCGAGATTCTTTGCGGAAATCGAGGAAAACGAGCAGCGACAATTTTGTAATCTACGGCAGCTAGCAGAGTAAATTATGGAAATTCTAGAGGGCAGGCTAGCAGGGATTCTTTGAAAAACCCGGGCAAACGAGCAGCGAAATTTGTGGATTTTTCAGGACCCGCCCGACGACGTGCGGCAAGCTGAACGGAGCGGACGAGGGGCGAAAGAAGAAGACGGAACAGCAGAAACAGCAGCAGCAGCAGTCGAAAGGGGGCAGCGGAGGAAGCGGAAAAGAGGAGAAGAAGGCCAAGGACAAGTCGAAGAGCATCTCCGGAAAGGACAAGAAGCCCAAGCCCCAGCCCAAGAAGTTCCCCCTCGGCGAGAAGGAGGTCAACTAATTTAAAAATAAAAAATAAAACAAAAATTTAAGAAATTAAACTTTCAAAAAAATCGAAAAAATCAAATTTTTCGCTCGTTTATTTTAGATTTTTTTGGGTTTTTCATATTTTTAATATGGAAATTTTTAAACGTTTTTTTTTCAATAAAAAATAGCCGATATCCAGGTCGTCCAAAAAAATTGCGCAAAGTTTCAAAATTCTGAAAATAAAAGAGACATTTTGGTGCTTTGGCATTATCGGGGGGGCGTTCGAATTTTCCCCTCTCAATTCCGAAAAATGCCTCGTTTTCAGGCGCAAATCGCGAAGGGGGCGACGCGCAACAAGAAGGACTACGCGACCATGGACGACATTTTGAGCGACTGGGACAGCGAGGAGGAGGAAGAGGTGGGACAGGAGAGTGGGCGGGGGGGGGGCAGGCTAGCAGAGAAAATGGAGGAACCTGGAGGGCTCAAAAACCTGCAAAAAACGTCCAAAAATCTGATTTATGTAGAAAACCCAAAAAAATTTTTGAAGGGTCGAAAGCTAGCAGAGATCATTCAGGAATCCGGGGCAGGCTAGCAGAGACAATTTAGGAGGGAAGAGCCTGAAAACCTTCTAAAAATCTCATTTTTCTAGAAAAACGCGGAAAATCGGCGGAAATTTTAGAGGGAAGCTAGCAAAGATTATTTAGGAATTCGGGGCAGGCTAGCAGAGACAATTTAGGAAGGGAGGGCCGAAACAGACAAAAAGAAATGCAAAACCCTAAACACTCGCGAAACCCTAAAAAATATCACGTTTTTAGAAAAAATGCGGAAGTTAGCAGAGAGTATTTAGGAATTTGAGGGGTAGGCTAGCAGAGACAATTTAGGAGGGCAGGGCGGGAATTGCAAAAAAAAACGATAAAAAGCTAGAAAAAAAGTGGTTTTTTTGCAGAAAAAGGGCGGAAAAGCTGGCGGCGGTGGTGGAAGCGGGGCGACGACGCCGAAACGGAAGAAGACGGGCAGCCAGCCGGAGAACAACAACAAGAAGGGCAACAACACGATCAAGGAGACGAAAGAGACGGAGGATCAGGAGGAATAGAGGGAGAGAGAACCCTTGGAATGGAATCACGATTTGATGTGTGCATTTACGTGCTTTTTTTAGTGTGTTTTTTGAGGCGGAATAAATGGTTTGAATTATCGCGTGGGTGAAGAGAGAGCGAGAGAGAGTGAGGGAGAGAGAGAGAGCGAGAGAGAGCGAGAGAGAGAGAGAGAGAGAGAGAGAGAGAGAGAGAGAGAGAGAGCAGAAACTCACATAGCTTCCGGATTCGGAGTGTCCAATCAAGTGCATGGCAATGTAGAGAGTGGGTGTCCCGATCAGAGCGCCAACAGCACAAATGATCGGATCGGCACGGGCTGTACGGCAGAAGCGGAAACACAGGCGGCCCGTTCGGAGCAGCTGGAAAAAAGAGCATTGATTACGCCATGAAAATCAGATTTTTCGGGCTGCGAATAATCGATTACGCCATGAAAATCAACATACCTCCGAGAGCAGCGACCCTGCACAAACACCGACGATTCCGCCGGCGATGGTGACCGCGCCGAACTTGAGCGCGATGCTGAACAGCGAGGAAATTAGAAGGAAAAGCCCGGAAAGCCCACTCTTTTTTGTAGGTGTCGGCCAGCGAGTCGGTCGAGTTCAGCCCGAGCTCGTGGGCCTTCGCGTGGTTCATCGCCGTCGGCACCCACCTGCAAAAAATTCAAATTTTAAAAAGCTAAAAAGCGAAAAAGATTAAAATTAAAAAGCACAGGACGTGAAATGCAAAAAATGTAAAATTTTCCATTATTAATTACTTTACTTATTAAATAGACTTACATATTTTTCATAGTTTTCATCTTTTTTAATTAATTTTTTAAGCTAGAGAAAATCGAAAAATAAAACGTTTATTCAGAAAATTTCAGAAAAAATTCACAAAAATATTTTCGACGCTAAAACTGACAAAATTTAAGCATTTTTATCATTAATTTTCAATTTTAGCTGCCAAAACGCTAATTTTGATTTTATCAATTTTTCAGAATTAATAACCTATACATTCAAAAATAGATTAAAAATTAAAACATAAAAAACGCACCACGACAGCGTGCCGGTGACAAACACCAGCGCCGTGTAGCCGAACGTCGAGAACAGGTAGGTGGGGCTAAAAAAAAATGGAAATTTCGCGAAAGTTGCTGAACTCCTACTTTTTGACGAGCGTCTTCAGGTCGTTCAGGTAGCCGAGCAGATTGCCGCCCTCCTCCGGCGGCTCGACAACGGACAGCGTGTGCTCGGCCAGCGTTTTCTCGGGTTTTGCCTGAAAAAAAGAGGAATTTAGTCTAATAGAAAAAAAATGAGGATCTTTTCTCTTATCGGGGGAGGCGATTTTTTCTTTAATTCGAGAAAGGCCTATTAACAAAATAGCGCGCATTTTAGCGTTTTGTTAGTTGAATTTAATCAGATTTCAAGCGGAAAATCCATAAAAAAAACTTTGAAAAAATTTTTAGTCGAAAATTCGATATTTTTTGTCCATTTCTTTCTTTTTATTTCTTTTTTTTTTGTTCAGAAAAACGTGTTTTGGGCAGCCTGCGAAACGCCTGACAAAAAATGACCCCTTTTCCTCGTCGAATCGCAATTTGGCAGCTTGCCAACCGATTACGCCATAGAAGTCACGCGAAAACAGGCATTTTCATGGCGTAATCGGTTCGACCAAGCCAAATGCCGAATTTCCCTAGCGTAAAGGGTTGCAAGGGGAAGATGTGGCTCACCCCCTCATCGGCCAACCCGCGCTCCGGCTCGAAGACGAACAGCACGATCAGAATCACGCAGATGGCACCTCAAAAATGACAATTAAAACAAAATTACACAAAAAAATGCCTACCGAAAAAGGGCGTCAACCGCATGCCCCATTCCCAGCTGCCGAACGCCGCGCTCAACTGGGCCCCGATCACGTAGCCGATACCGCTGAAAACGGCAGGATTATCTAGATAGATTAGCCAAACCAATTTATCGGTATTTATCGCAATTTCCAGCGTTTTTAACCTCAAAAAACTCGAAAAATTTCAAAGTCTAAAAATGGGATTTTTTACCGGAAATTTCTGGACAGAGGGGGATCAAAAATTCTGTTTCCAAAGCTATTGAGGGCCGAAAGGCTTCATTGAAACAAACTACAGATTTTTAGCGCAATTCCCGTGCTTGTCAGGCTAGAAAAATCGAAAACCTTGAAAATTCCTCAAAAATTTTATTTTTTTGCCCTAAAATTTCTCGAGAAACGATCAAATCCAACTTTTTCAAGCTAGCGAAAAGCTTGCAAGCTCTGTCCGTCGAAACTACAGCCATTTATCGAAATATCCCGCGAAAATATCAAACATTTTTCAAAAATTCGATTTTTTTGCCTAAAATTTAGCAAAACTTTAAAAATGATTTTTTTTTAAACTTTCGAAAAGCCTGCAAGCTTTATCTCTAGAAAATACAGCTATTTATCGCAATTTACAGCGTTTTTATCATCGAAAAATTCAAAATTCCTGAAAAATGTGATTTTTGGCCTAAAATTTCGCGGGCATCCATCAAATTTCCGTTTCAAAGCTTTCGAAAAGCTGGAAAAATTTATTACTACAAACGACAGTTCCTGAACACGCGGTTTTGACTATTTTGAGGGTCGAAAATCGAAAATTTTGCAAAAATTCGATTTTTTGGCCTAAAATTCCTGAAAAAGTGATTTTTGGCCGAAAAAACCCGCGAAAAAACGATAAAACTAGCTTTGAAAAGCACTAGAAAGACGGGAAACTCTCTCAATACAAACTACAGCTTTTGAAATGGGTTCTTAGTGTCTAGGAAGGTCGACAGATACAAAAATCTATATCAAACGCAAAATGTTTCTAAAAATGCGACTTTTTGGGTCAAAATTTTCTAAAAATTAGATTTTTTTGGGGGCTAAAATCGACGAAAATCTGTACCTTCCGACGGGGATGGCAAAGTAGAAGAGCATCAGCATCCGGGAGCGCGTCTTGCCGCTGTAGAGATCGCCGATGAGGGATGGGGAGACGACGGCGTACGAGGCTTCGCCCACCCCGACGATCCCTCGCATCAGCAGGAACAGCCAAAATTTCTGGAAAATTCGCGTTTTAACCCCCAAAAAATCAGGAAAAAAGGAGGGATCTTTTGCATTATCGGGGGGAGGCCGCTAATTTTAGTATTTTTAATATAATTAACACTATTTAAAGCGAAAACCGCATCAAAAAAACCCGTTTAAATGCTCAAAAACGCGAAATTTTGACCAAAATTGATCGTTTTTTACCGAAAAATCGATATTTTTGCATTTTTATCACTCATTTATTATTATTTTAGTATTTTTACTATGAATTGACACTATTTAAAGCGAAAACGGTGGCTCAAAAACTCCCAAAAAGTCGACATTTTCGCGAAAGTTGGTCATTTTTGGGCGAAAAATCCAGATTTTTGTATTTTAATCATCTATTTACTATTCATTGATCCCGCCGATAATGCAAAAGCTCCCAAAAATCGAATGGCACCGTACATCAGCCGGGACGAACGTCGACGCGAAGACGGCCATCACCCACACCAGAATCCCGGCCACCATGATCCACTTGCGGTTGTAGCTGCAAAGAGGAAACTCGTGGGAAAGCTTTCCAAAAACGCTCACCGATCCCCCAAATAGCCGCACGCCGGGCTGAACAGCATGAAGAAGATGATGAACACCGTCTGCAGCAGCCCGGCCATGTCGTTGTCGATGCTGTAGAAGTGCTGGATGTCCGTCAGCACGCCTGCAAAGTTCGAGTTCAATTCAATGACGGCACAGCAGCCCCCGAGCAGCTCGAAAACGTGCCGAAAAAGCGGTTTTTGAGCTGATTTGACGTTTCAAGGTTTTGAAACAGGTCAAAACATGTTTTTAAGAGTTTTCAAAAGCACCCGGAAGCGTGGCTAAGCCGAAAAACGCGTCCAAAAAAGCCGAAAACAGGTTTTTAAAGTTACAAAAAGCATCTGAAAACGTCTGGGAGCTTTACGAGATGGAAAACACGCTTAAAATGCCTAGAATAGGCCTTTGGAAGTAAAAAAACTAGTTTTTGGCATTTTTAAAGTTTAAAAAACGGATTTATGGCCTTTAAAAAAATTCCGAAGGTTAGAAAGCTCAAAAACCTGTAAAGACACACCGAAAAACATGTTTTTAACGTTGTAAAAGGTCCCTTAAAGCGTTCTCGGGCCAAAAAGCCCTAGGAAAACCTTTTCATGGTTTTAAAAAGCCGTCTAGAAAGTTTTCGGGCCATAAAAACCCTAAAATTTGCCAAAAAGCGATTTTTTTCGCCTGTTTTAAGGCTATAAAAAGTGGTTGAAACGTTTTCGGGCCTTAAAAACGTTTTTAAAAGCTCGCAAAACCGACCAGCGATGGTGAACCGGTCGGCGTAGTTGAGGAGGTTGATGATGAACAGGATGAGGACGACCATGAACTTGCGCCATGGCGCCGGGCTCGACTTGGCCATCGCTGAGGGCCTGCTGCTGCAAAATGAGGATATAGAAAATCTGAAAACGGCCGAATGAAAGAGAAAACATAATAACACAAAAGAGGTGCAAACAGCTCGAAAACGCGCTTACAAAACCCCAAAATCCCATTTTCATGGTATAAAAAGTCTTTTAAAACGACTTGGGGCTTTCAAAACTCGAAAATTTGTTAAAAAGCCTCGGAAAACACCTTTTTACGCCAAAAAAGCTAGAAACCGCGCATAAAAACGCCCAAAACCCCCATTTTCAAGGTCATAAAAGGTCGTCGAACAGTTTTTGACTTTGCAAAGCTCAGAAAGGGCTTAAAAACGACGGGAAAAGGGCCCGAACGCGTTTGAGAGTCAGCTAGAGCCGGCAGAAATGGAGATCGAGCAGAAAAACTATCTAAACAAGGCTGTAGCAGTAATTAAAAACGTTCAGCAAGGGCTCGGAAGCTAGAAAACAAGCTCAAAACGCAGCGCAACAAAAAGAATAACGTTTTTGGTGGGCGTTTTCACGCTAAAAACCGATATATTTACCAAAAAAACTCGTCGAAAAAGGGACAAAAAGTAGAGCAAACTAAAGCGCCATAGAAAGCGGAGATATTGAAGCGGGGTGACGACGAAAAAGGAGGAAGCCGGAAGGCACAATAGAAAGTGGCCGTTCGAACGAATGTTCGTCTACATTGGCTCTGTGACTAGTTGAGAGCAGATTCGTCAACATTTGCAGCGTGTGACAGCGGAAATAGACAAATTAGAACGTCGCAGAGGCCGCCGAAAGTGGTAGAAAAGCGGGGAAACATGAAAATATGAACTCTGGAGCCAAATACAGCAACGCCAAGGTAACCTACGGGCTTGGGAAAGCTCTAAAACCCAGAATCCGAGTCTATAGACTTCTATAGAAGCTGGGAAAAGCTTCGGAAACCTGTCAAAAACAAGTCAGGAATAAGAAAAACGCCTTTTAAAACCTAATAAACATCAGCCAGAGCTAAACTTCTCCATAAAAACAGGATAAAAAGGTCTCAAACAAAACTAAAAACAAGGCAAAAAAGGTTTAAAACTTGAGTATGCTAGTCTAGCGATTGAAATCATCTTTTACCTACTAAAAAAAAACATCTAAGAAGAGGCAAAATCAATTCTACGCCTATAAAAAGCATCTACAGCCCGCGCAACGTCGCGAATTCGTTCGAGAAACTCTAAAAAGCGGCGGAATTTTGTCGAAAACCAGCCAAAAGCAAGAAAAACAACTTTTAAGACCAAAATCTAGGGCCCAAAACCTTCATAAAACGTTCAAAAATCATTAGGAAAAAGCAAAATCAATTCCACGCTCATAAAAAAGCATCAACAGCCCGCGCAACGTCGCGAACTCGTTCGAGAAACTCTAAAAAGCGGCGGGAAACTATTTAAACGTTAAAAAACTCATCTAGGAAAAGGCAAAACCAGCTTTAAACTTAAAAATGAGCACCAACAGCCCACGCAACGTCGCGAATTCGTTCAGCCTGGCATTTGTTGTCGTTGCGGCGCGAATATTCGGCCTCGAGTCATGGATGGTTGTCGCTGTGCGGGAGGGGAGGGGGCAAACAGGTTCTTCACCGCCGCGGTCTCCCTCGTTGCGAAGCGCGTGTGAAGGCCGTCCAAGCAATCCCCCCGACAGCTGTAGTCAAATCGCTCAATATTTGCCCCCCGGAAACGCTACGAATCGAGCTGCGAAATATAGCCGTTTTGGCGTTTGGTAACGTTACCAAACATTGGAAAAATTGAAAATGACGCCGCTAGCAGACAAATTGGGCCTGGAAAAACCGAGGAAACATTCTAAAAAACTCTTATAAAGTCAGTTTTTCCATAGGAAATCCCCTTGAAAAGTGCTAGTTTTAGTTTTATAAGTGTTTTTAATGTTTTCTAGTCCTTTTCACGTTCTTCCAACCAGCGGATAGCGAAATCCAGCCGTTTTCGCCCGCTAAAAACGTCACTCAGGTCCTCGGATCCACCCGAAATCCGGTCGGCATCTGCTCGCGAAATCGATCGGAATTCCAGTAGCGGACGCGACCGGATTCCACGTGGAAATCGACCGGATTGCGGGTGGATTCACGGTAAATCAGTTGGAAATCGACCGGATCCGCCCGGTGTCCACTCGATTTCGCCGTGCCGCGTCGCGTGCGGCACGCGTTGATTTCCTGTGCGTCCACCCGAAATCCAGCCGGTTTCCATGCGTTCCACTCCAAATCCAGGTGGAATACAACCGGATTTTGGGTGGACCCGAGGACCTGAGCAGGAATCGCCGGAAAAGTGAGAACAAAGTTTTTCGACGAGAATTTCGGGAAATTGAAGCGTTCTGGCCGGAAAAAGGAGAAGCCAAACGCGGGCTCGACACCAACGGGGTCAGGCAAAGCCTAAAACTGGCGTCTGCCGAAAAGTTTCGATAAATTTAAGCCGCGAAAATGAGGTCGGCACGCGCTTGGCCCGGCCTCGCTTATCAGCGCTTTTCGTGAAGTCGCCACTTTGGAGGAATTTACGCCTGAAAAAAGGACAGAAAAAGTATAGAGGCAAGTTTAAAACAACGAGAAAAGTTCTAAAAGGTTAACTTAGGAAAAATCAAGATTTTACAGAATTCTCGGAGTAGATGAAAGGTTAGAAAATCCACAAAATAAATTTTAAAAAGCTAGTTTTTTCGGAATTTCGACGCCTAAATATAGTTTCGTTTAGTTTCGTCGTTTTTAAATGGAAAAGCCCCCAAAATAGGATGAAAAAGGATAGAAAAAGCTCATGAAAAAGATTGGGCGCTTCGGAAGCAGTAAAAAAAAATACGATTTTTCAAATATTCAGCTATTTTAAATGTCTTAAACTACAAAAAGAAGCCCGAAAAATATTTTTCTCACATGGCAAACGAGCAGAGAGCATTTGCGGATCGCGCAAAGACCAAATTTAAGCGTAAAAAAGACAGGAAAAACTCATGAAAAAGATAGGGCGCTTCGGAAGCTGCAAAAAATACGATTTTTTTTCCACATTTCGCGATTTTGAATATTTCAAAACTCCAAAAGAAGCTGTAAAAATATCTTTTACAGGGCAAACGAGCAGGGAGCATTTGCGGAACGTGGAAAGGCCAAATTTAAGCGCAAAAAGGATAGGAAAAACCGTCATTTCAAGGGCAAACGAGCGTAGAGTAATGCAAAAAAACCCTGCCAGCCTGCCCGGGGGCAAACTGGCAGCGATACTTTGCGGACGGGGCACTTTTAAGCGTGCAAAATGTCGCCTGTAGCCTTGGCGACCGAAAAACCCGTCACTGACCCGTAATCCTAGCGGTCGCCCGGAATAGAATTTGATAAGCCCCCGATAGGGAAAAGGACATAAGACAGACAGACAGACAGACAAAGCTAATCGCAACACCTTTCCACAAAATCGGCGGCGCTGATCAGCCGAGAAAAATCTGTGACCCCGGATTTACAACCCTAGAAAGTTTGGGAAAATTTAAGTATACGGTCACCTAGCCAAACCCAACTTATTTATATACAGAAATGTTCAGCTCGAAGAGCTGGTTCAGGATCAGTTGAAAAAACTATTGGGAAACACTTCTGGAGCGAGATATAGGGGTCCAAATTTAGGTAGTTAGGTATACGGTCACCTATCCAAACAGGCTTGTTTTATGCATAGAAATGTGCAGCTCGTCGAGCAGAGCCCATATCTGTTGAAATAATCATTGGGAAAAATGTATAAAGAAAGTTATGAAGGTCTGAAACTCAGTTTTCGGAAAGTTCTGGCTACGCGACACTCCTTTGTACGGAGCGGTGTAGTCTGTATCCGTACGTACCTCTGCGATAACACTTGTTTATAATTTTTAAGTGTTTTTAACGCTATTAATGTAAAATAAAGGTAACGGTGAGGCTTTCCACATTGTCAGGCAAGGTGGGCCTAGTCGCTTCGGATGGGCTGCCGCTCCACTCTTTCGAAATCGGAGCGCCTGGCCGCTGCGCGCGCCTCGGGCGCCCCGATTTCGAAACCCTGTACGAGCTCGCACCCATCCGAAGCGACTAGGCCCCGGGTGGCACGAAGCCTTATTTTTAGGTAAAGTTTGAGTGTATTAGAGCGAAATATCCAAAGGAAATGGGCGTTTTTTGGCCCTTTTGGTCTTCAAACTTTGGACGCCTATATCTCGCTCCAGAAGTGTTTCCCAATAGTTTTTTTAACTGATCCTGAACCAGCTCGTCGAGCTGAACATTTCTATATATAAAAAGTTTGGGTTTGCCTAGGTGACCGTATACTTGAATTTAGCCGAAAGTTTTCCATTTTTTTAGATATAAATACTTTTAGCCTAGTTGTTCACGGGGTTTTTAACCTTACTTGGGGCGCGCACGAGAAATATTAAAAAAATCCCTTCTAATGGCTATAACTTTTTTTCCCGAAAAAATGACAAATTCTCCGCCTGGTAATTTGTAGAGAAGACCCTCGGGAACATTTTGGTAAAAGAATCTCAGCGATCGCGAGGAAAAACAAGGATTTGAAACGCTTTGAAGCGATTATCAAGACGATGTTCTCGTGAGGGCCTCAGGTCGCCCCAGTTTCCTAATTTTCTGCCTGAGATTCGCCACAGATTTGTTGTCGGCGCTCTTCTGAGTATTTTGCAAAAAAAAAGCAAAACCCTGTCATGATTTTACGCGAGGAGAGGAATCGAACCCTGACCCTCCGCCTGACGCCGCCTTGGCCACGCCCCCCGCACCCCCGTGCGCGGAAAAAACCCCCGTGTGTTGTCAATTAACCACAACGAAAGCCATCGATGGAGGGTCACTGACGCCTATAAAATCACATGTTACTCGAATTAATATAACAATATACAGGTCTCAGTTAGATTTTCAAAAATCGTGAATCCGGCTCCGCTCCCCTTTTTTTATCGTGATACTCTGAATTTCGATTGGCTGATGCAACGAGATGAGGATTTATTGCTGTGTCGTCATTTTGAGCCATTTGTACCGCCAGGCGACCACCATCTGCTTTGTCGGTTGACGGGGGCAGCATTTCCCCGGACGGGCATGCTCATTTCTCGGTCGTCTCATCGAGAAGACAGCTGCAAATGTTGAATTCGAGAGATCAAGAGAGCTAGAGAGAGCGCGAGAGAGACAGGGAGAGAGAGATATAGGGAGAGAGACAGAGAGATAGGGAGACAGAGAGACAGACAGAGAGAGAGCGAGAGAGAGAGAGAGACAGGGAGAGAGACAGAGAGATAGGGAGAGAGATAGATAGGGAGACAGACAGGGAGAGAGACAGAGAGATAGGGAGGGTTAGGGAGAGAGCGAGAGAGATAGGGAGAGAGATAGAGAGAGCTAGAAAGAGCGAGAGAGCTAGAGAGAGTGAGAGAGAGAACGAGAGAGTGAGAGAGAGCTAGAGAGAGAGTGCTAGAGACAGATAACGAGAGAGAGAGATAACCAGAGAGTGAGAGGGATAGAGAGAGAGAGTGAGAGAGAGACAACGAGAGAGAGTGAGAGTGAGAGAGTGCTAGAGAGAGAGAGCTAGAGAGAGCGAGAGAGAGAGAGAGAGAGTGAGAGAGAGATAACGAGAGAGAGTGAAAGTGAGAGAGTGCTAGAGAGAGAGAGAGAGAGAGAGTGAGAGAGATAACCAGAGAGTGAGAGGGATAGAGAGAGAGAGAGGGAGAGAGAGAACGAGAGAGTGAGAGAGCTAGAGAGAGAGAGCTAGAGAGAGAGTGCTAGAGAGAGAGAGAGAGAGAGAGTGAGAGGGATAGAGAGAGAGAGGGAGTGCGCACTTACCAGTTATACTGTACAAGCCGCACGTGTAAAGCAGCATGCCCCAATCTAGCCGGACCATATCCGGAACCCGCTTCTAAGAAAAATGTTGCCTGGTATGGGATATGGGCATCTAGCCAGCAAAAATTATTCTGCGTTTTTTAAAGCCCCCCCCCAGCCTGAGGTATTTATCTATCTAATAACCTCTGCGACCTAAGGCTGCCGATTGGTGGCCTTGGACACATTTTTAGGGCCTGCCGGCTGGGGGATGGGGGTTGGGGAGGGGTGGAGGAGTTGCAAACTCTCACCGACGTCTCCTTGGCTAGGATTACCATATTTGAATTGGATACCTCGAGGCGGCGAGGGAATTCTTCGGCGAAATTGTAGGCGTCGTCAAACGATCTGGGCCCGAATCGCCAGTACCAGTATGCGACGCTGAAAGCCGTCCAAAACCCGGCGATCACTCGTCCGACGACGAACGCTGCATAGTCGCCCCGCTGAAACGTATTCCAAATTTGGGCCAGACTTGACTTTACCCCCCGACCAAGGTTCGTAAAATTTCACATTTGTATCCTATCCTACAGGGTGTCCTAAAAAAAATCCCCCTCCCCCCTAGCCGGCCGCAGACGTGTCCGATTTTTACGCTTTAGGTATCTATCGAAAGCTTTCGGAAACGCGAGTCCAGCACGGCTTGCGGATTTGCGAAATGTCGGAATTTTTTGCTCTATTTTTGGCATTTTTCATGCCAAAAGGACAGACTTTTCTGTTCAACACACAATTTAACTGGTTTAAGCGCCGTGTATAAAATGCCCTAATTCTCCGATAGTCGGGGGGGTAATCGACCCTCCTCTTCATTCCGCGGAGGGGGGAGGGGGTAACCTAGACTGATACACCCACCTTTTCATCGCAGTCGTACGTCTCGCAGTTGTCCCATTCATCGCGCAACCATTCCCCCACATACGGCACAAAGTCAAGCGGGGTGGGCAGCGTGTTGGATCTGCGTAGATTCTCCTGCAATCAACGACATCGGATAGTAGTTCTTCCCTAGATGCTGGGTGTCCCAAAAAAAACGTACCCCCCTCTAGCGGTCCGGCGGGAACTCACTGTAAAGTGTTTTTACTCAACTTGGAGTTTCGTTTCGGGACCAAGTGCATCTTGTGCAGAATTTTTCGCTGATTCCGAATCCACTTTCCAAATTTGCTACCGACATATACTTTCAAAGTTATACGGCAATTATGGTAAGGTTTTTCCCCCCCAAAAACATGGTGCCGTTATCGCTTTCGAATGTCTTGATCAATTTCAACGCCAAAATTGGATAGGCATTGGCTAGGCAAGCGTTTTAACGGTCAAAGCAAGCTTTTTGATAAAAGAATTTGATTTTTTATGCAAAAAGCAAAAGGTGTGGCAGGGCGGGGGTTCGAACCGGCGCCCTGCGCTTGGCAAGCGAGGACTCTGCCAATGCACCATGGTGCCAACGGGGCACTGGGCTGTGAGAGCCTACTTGAGGGAACCGGGGAGAAATAGCACCAATGAGGGAATAGTGGGCCAGAATTCGAAATTTTTGGCTTTTTCAAGCTTAATTTACACCAAAAATTACTTTTTAGATAAAAGTCGGTAGCGAATTTGGAAAGTGGATTCGGAATCAGCGAAAAATTCTGCACAAGATGCACTTGGTCCCGAATCGAAACTCCAAGTTGAGTAAAAACACTTTACAGTCAGATCAGGATGATTTATATACCACCAGCCGCTTACAGCGGCTTTGCCGCTGCAAGCGGCTGGACTTCGGGCCACCTCCTGTGCGTTCCCTCCCCCTCGCCGAAACGCGCGCGACCTGGCTCACTATGTCCAAAATCACCCCAACCTCCGTCCCCCACCCCTTTTACTAAGGAAAAAACTTTCAAAGTTAATTTTAATAATTTAAACAAAAACTTTTCCGTAATTTTTTTATCAGTTTGGGGGTTTCTGATGGCGCTCTATCCGAATCCGAAGAGACCTAAGCTCTAGCTCCTTTCTCCTTCGAGTTGACTTCACGACCTGACACACACACACACACACACACACACACACACACACACACACACACACACACACACACACACACACACACACACACACACACACACACACACACACACACACACACACACACACACACACACACACACACACACACACACACACACACACACACACACACACACACACACACACACACACACACACACACACACACACACACACACACACACACACACACACACACACACACACACACACACACACACACACACACACACACACACACACACACACACACACACACACACACACACACACACACACACACACACACACACACACACACACACACACACACACACACACACACACACACACACACACACACACACACACACACACACACACACACACACACACACACACACACACACACACACACACACACACACACACACACACACACACACACACACACACACACACACACACACACACACACACACACACACACACACACACACACACACACACACACACACACACACACACACACACACACACACACACACACACACACACACACACACACACTGACGCCTCAAGAAAATTATTATAGTTGATTCTTGGAGCCCGCGAAAAGGCGAGAAAACAAGCGGCCTCATTTTCTCCAATCTATTCTTATTTGTCCGATATTCAACGTTTTAAAAAAACCAAACAGGCAGCTTTGCAATAGGAATCTCGCGTAAATCTGCCGTTTTCTTGGTGTTTCTTTCTTTTTTAGGTGAAATTCGCGAATAAAAATACATAATAGGAAAAACGAACCCGCCTTGTATTTCTCGCCTTTTCAAGAGCTTTCGATAGATACCCCTAAACGGTGGAACCGGGGAAACGACTGCGCGCCGCTCGAGCGCTCACTTTGCGACTTTGCGACATGACTCACTGCTGCTTTTTTTTGGGACACCCTGTAGTTAGAAAAAAGCTGTCCCCCCCCAATAACGCAAAAGACCCAAAACACGCGTTACCAATTCCTGGCGCAGGTTGTCGCCAAGAGTCGTCGAATCCCGCACTGGTATCAGCATCAACACTGAATTTTTATCAAATACAGTGTGTCCCAAGACCCCAGCCCCCGCTAGCCGGCCGCAGACCGGTCCGATTTTGATGATTTAGGTATCTCAGGTCCTCGGGTCCACCCAAAATCCGTCCACCTGGATTTGGGGTGGAACGCATGGAAATCGGCTGGATTTCGGGTGGACGCACAGGAAATCGAGTGGAAACACGACGCAACACGTGCCGCACGCGACGCGGCAAATGGAAATCGAGTGGAAACCGGGCGGATCCGGTCGATTTCCAACTGATTTACCGTGAATCCACCCGCAATCCGGTCGATTTCCACGTGGAATCCGGTCGCGTCCGCTACTGGAATTCCGATCGATTTCGCGAGCAGATGCAGACCGGATTTCGGGTGGCCCCGAGGACCTAAGTATCTATCGCAAGCTCTCCGAAAGGTGAGTGCAGCACGTCTTGCGCATTTGCGAAATGTCGGAATTTTTTGCTCGATTTTCGGCATTTTTCAGGCCAAAAGGACAGACTTTTTTGTTCAAAACGCAATTTAACCAGTCCAAGCTGTGTTTTGGCAAACGGCTTTCAAAAAGCTGTCGTTTGGTTGCCAGGAAAGGCGTAAAAATTCTTAGATTGCGCTTTTTGTAAAAAACCCCCTGGTCAGAACAACATCAGAAAATCCGCCCATGTTGCAAAAACATTAGTAACTGATGGAAAAATTTCCAAATTACGAAAAACGAAGAGCCGTGCCGGACTCGCTTTTTCGAGAGCTTTCGATGGATACCTAAATCGTAAAAATCGGACAGGTCTGGGGCCGGCTAGGGGGGGGGGGGGGGGGGTTTGGGACACCCTGTATTCGAGCAACTTGCAACATTTTTTTCTTGAAATTTTTTTTGCCATTTTTTATCAAAAAAAAACATTGAAAAAACGAGAACAAGAAAGACGGCAAAAGTCCCGAATACGCAAGTTGACCGCCGCTTTTCACAATGTTTTTTTGTCTAGGATTTTGCTCCGGCTATACGGGGGTACTGGGCTGTTAGCGGGGGGGCACTATTTTTGATTTTCCCACCCATATCCTGTTGAAACTGTATATTGTATTTGCATCTTTTTATTGGCGTTTGATTGGCAACAAAATTTTATAATAAAAAAATATATTCCGAAATTTTGTAAAAATACCGCAAATTTTGAATTTTTGAAAATTTTTGAAACATTTTTAAGCAATAAGTCAAAATTTGGAAACTTTTTAACGGTTTTTTGTGTGTGCTTTATATCCGAAAACGGTGTAGAATGGTATGAAAATGGTTTCAATTTCGTTACAGGGCCCCTGCAGATTTCTCCCCCCGCTATCAGCCCAGTCCATGCTATAAAAAACACGCTGTAAACAAGCAAAAATAAGAGCAATACGAAAAAGAAAAACAAAAATAATACAAAACCCACGAAAAGAATGGAAAACTGAAAAAAATGACTGCATCCGCTGGCACCCCCACCTGCCGTTAATGCGGCGGCGAAGAAGCTGCCGTAACCCATCAACTCGACGAGGAGGCACAGCCAGAATGTCCACCCCCATTCGTCGTCCTCCCCCCATTGGGGAATCACCTGCAAAATGCCCTATTCTGGCCCCCGATTTTCATGTCGTAATGTCGAATACTTTGACTGGGCTCCCTCTAACTTTGTCATTTTTCGATCGAGAGCCATAATATTTTGCGTGTGGCTGAACTGGCATCCAGGCTACAAGCTCCATTGGTTACTTTTCGACTATAAACTACAAAACAAGGCTGCCGGGCGACGGACCCAGGTTCAACCGGTCAACCTTTTCCTGCTTGAAAACTTGGCCCCAATTTTTATAGGAATCGCTGTATTGACAGCCAGATCAACGAAAAATAACCTTTAAGGCATCTACGGTACCCTAAATCGTCAATAGGACCCATTCGGAAAAAGGGCCTAAATCGTGATTTTCCCGTTTTCCCGCCCCTTCAATTCGATAGTTAGAGGGATCGGGTAGATGATAGTGTTGGGATGTGGTAGAACTCATTCTTCTCTTTCGAATAGATCATAACAATCCTCTACAGTACCCCCAAATGTCTACAGGAATCTAGCCGAAAACGGAAAAATTGGATTTTGCGATTTTTTCAAATGGGCATAAGTTTTTGTAGTTTGTAGCTAGAAGTCAAATTCTTTGTGAATAGCTAAACTGACAGGCAGGCTACAGACTACAACTGCTACGACAACATACGACATATACCGTACGCCGTCAGGCGGAGGACATGGGTTCGACCCCCCCGGACGCGACTAGTCTTTTGCATTTTGCTTTTAAAGTCTACTTCTTGGCCGGAATGGCTAAACTGGCAGCCATTCTACAAAATGCACGTATTACAACATACCGGCTCGATGATGATTACATGGAAGGGATAGAGATGCATTGAAATCCATAGCACGATAGAAGCCGTCGATTGCCAATTGTACAACGAAGCCTAAAGAAAACGGATTACGACATGAAATTAAGCAACTAAGTACAGGGTGTCCCATAAAAAAGCACCCCTCCGGCATTTCGCCGTATGACATCCCAACAGTCCCAAAATTGGACTGGAGGTGTATCAGACTCTAAATAACCACAATCCTGAGTTATAGCCCGATCGCTACAGTAGTTTTCGAGTTAGCGTCAAAATACTGTTTTTTTTTTACGCGGTTCTTCACAGTTTTTCGGCTATCTTTTTGGACTTTGCATCGATTTGCATCGACTTTCGGCTGCGAATCCCTAATTTCGCTTAATATCGGGGGTGACTTTGCGTTACAAAAATTGTTGAAATCAACGGTTATTTCACTAATTTTTATCAGAAAAAAAAAAATCTCTAGGGGTAAAGCAGGCTTGCCGCTTCATTTTCACTTAACATCCAAAGGGTCGATTTCGGCGAAAACCATACGAAAAACGGATAAGAAAGTATATTTTGGTTGAATCCCGAAGATTACTGTAGGGCGGGCTGTAAGTCAGGATTGTGGTTATTTAGGGTCTGATACACCCCTGGTCCAAATTTCGGACCGATCGGATGTAATATGGCGAAATGCCGGAGGGGTGCTTTTTTATGGGACACCCTGTATACCCGGCGTTTGCATTGGAAAGTATTCCGGATGAGGTCACGACGGAAGAGATGACGACGAAGGGTACTGTAGAAGGGCCACCAGATACTGAAAGGTCTGTAGTCTGTAGCCTGCCCGCCAGTTTAGCTAATCCAGAAAAAATTAGAGCTCTAGCTACAAACTACAAAGATTCAGATCGATCAGGGAAATTGCGATAATCTTAGTTTTTCCGATTTTCCGCGGGATTCCTGTTGACATTTGGGGGGGTACTGTAGATGATTGTTATAATCTATTCGAAAGAGGAGAATTAGTTCTATCACATCCCAACACTATCACCTACCCTATCCCTCTAACTACCGAATTAAAGGGGCAGGAAAACGGGAAAATCGCGATTTTGGCACGTTTTCGAATCGGTACTATTGACGTCTAGGGGTACTGTAGAGAGGTTTTAGCAATTGTATCCTCTAGTCTGGGTGCCAGTTTAGTCATTTCTATCTCTCTCTCTCTCTCTCTCTCTCGCTCTATCTCTCTCTCTCTCCTTTCTTACGGTATTTTCGGCATCCTTCTGACTGTCCACCCGAAAGTCTTCTTCTCCCGCGGTCCCACAGAAGCACTTCTCCGCACCCGTTTCGCCGTAACCTGCAAATTCCAAAAAATATCGCCATCGTATTCAGAAATTGTTTTTCATTCGCACGTGCCCTTTAACTTTAACCGGTTCTTGTGTATTCCCGGGGGGGGACCGAATTTCCGCCCAAGCCTAGATTTTTTATATAAATAGTGGAAGTGTTTCTAAATTGTCTATAGCTATTCCCAAGCATAAACTCTTTACAAAATTTAATTAAAAACTTAAATTCTAGGGCGAAAAATCAATGTTTTCGCCCCAAAAAATGACCAAATTTGCGACTTTTTCAAGCGTTTTTCCAACTTTTTCAAAAGTTTTTCCGATTCAAATCGGCTTAAATTTTGGCTAAAAACAATGTGAAAACACGTTATATTTGGTTACTATCCCCACCAGGGACGACAAAAAAAGTTCGGTTTGCCCCCCCCGGAAATACACAAGAACCGGGACACCCTGTATATGCGGCAATTGGTACCTCTTTTTTGGGGACGATTTTTGGCTTCCATCCGGGCGAGATTGAACGCTGTCGTTGCATCGTCCCGCCTGAAACAAAATTGGTGCGTCGGTGCTGGACTGTTAGCGGGGCGGGGGGGGGAGACTTTTTATTTTTCGACCTATGATATGCATATTATGCATTTTTTAGTGTTTTTTAGTAGTTTTTCATTGGCTGGAAAGTTATAACAAAATATTTTTGCAAAAAAATTTCGTAAATTCGAAAATTTTTGGCCCCTTTTTAGTGATTTTTGTGCATGCATTTCGTGCCAACGCATCAAACCCACAAAATCTTTCATATTTTTTTGTATTGTTTTTTAGCAGGAAAAATTAAGAGGAAAAAATAAATAAAAGAATAAAAGAATAAAAAATACAAGAACCTCTCAAATCTCTCAAATTTTTTTTGGCCTTTTGCGCCTCAAGTTCGATTCGTATTTATCGTAAACGTTTTGCTTTTTTACTAAATGAAATATTTTGCACCGATAACCCGTTCAAAACCTAAAAAGCAAAGTTTTAGCCAGCGCGAAGATTCGAACCCGAGGCAAAAAAAATGTGAAAAAGTTGGTAGGCAACCACACTACCAATACGCCAATGCAACCTGTGGAGGAGGCCTTGGCGGAAGGTTATGAATAGCGCCTGGCCCAGCCCCCGAAAGCGGCGTGAACCGAGGAAATGTGCTCGAAAACTAGAAAAAAGCGCAAACTTCAAATTAAATTTTCTAAGATTCCTTTATCGATCAGCACTTTTTGAAAACGCAATCTTGTGCTGAATTTTTTTCTCTATCGAACTAGCTAGGTCCCGTCCCGAAACTCCAAAAGCACCTAAAAGCGGCTCCTTGTAGGCAAAAGCTATGGCGTTGGTTGATGGGCAGGGTGAGGGGGCGGAGGATGCCGGGATATGCAAACAAACAGGTCAGAGAGAGGAGAGAGACAGAGAGAGAGAGACAAGAGAGAGAGAGAGAAAGAAAGAGAGAGCGAGTCGTTTGTCTACCGGCACCCAAGACAGCGCCGGTCTCTAATAACATCGTCGTTGTTGGACCGCGCGGCAGGGACGTAGCGTAATACCGCCCCCCTCTACCACCGAAATCGGCCGGGGCCCGAAAATTTCATAGGGGGGACCCTTATGATTTTTATTTTCTCAAAAAAAACACCTCTAAAAACTCAACTTTCAGCGCTCGAATCTCTGCGAAAACAATGGGGTGTCATGGGTGCCCTCAAAGCCTTACTATTCCTCTAGCCCGAGCACCCCCATGGCTGACCCGTAAAGCTGTGTCCCAATGACAGTTTAACACATCGAGCGGCCCGAAAGAAGTCTTATGACGAGAGTGGCGGGCTAATGGTCTCTGCTAGCATGCCTAGGCCCAAACTGGCAGGCAAAGTACAGACTCCAAAGTGGAAAATGGTCTCTGCTAGCTTGCCCACGATTTAAAAGGGCGCTAAGCGATTTTCCGACGTTCACAAGCGGAAATGGGCTTTATGACGAGCGAGGGAGGCTAGTGGTCTCTGCTAGCATGCCCAACCTTTAAACTGGCAGCCAGACTACAGACAGACTCCACCTTTGCAAATAGTCTCGGCTAGCTTACCTGGAAACTAAAATCGGGAAATCGGGTTTTGGCCACTCTGGGGCAAGCTAGCAGCGATTATTGAGGAATCTACAAGCAAACGAACAAAGTTTCTTCTTGGAAACGTTAAACTGGCGTACAGGCTACAGACTCCAACTTTTATCTTGGGCCACAGACTACAGAAACGCGACTAGGCGCAGGACCCGGGTTCGACCCCCGCCCGAGAAAAGTAAAAAATGACAATTACAGTAGCTAGCAGGGCGGAATTACCAACCGATGGACCGAGGGGAGGACTTATTGATCGGTCGTCATTTTGAGCCATTTGTACTGCCCGGCGACCACCATCTGCTTTGTCGGTTGACGGGGGCAGCATTTCCCCGGACGGGCGTGCTCATTTCTGGGTCGTCGCTGCGGGAAGGCAGCTGAAATTGGTGCGTTTTATTGCAAAAACCTTAGGAAATCGAATTTTTGGAGTCGTGCTAGTTTTTTGCAGCTAGCTAGGGCTCTAATTCTTTAGGAAATAGTTAAACTAGCCAGACTGCGAGACTGTGAGAGAGAGAGAGAGAGAGAGAGAGAGAGAGAGAGAGAGAGACAGAGCAACGCCCCGGGCCATCTAAGCATCTAGGCTATACATGGGTCGACGCTTGCATGCGCCGCATAAGCGTGGCTGGCCACGCTCTTCCGGAGCGTGGAGGACCACGCTTATGCGGCGCTTTATGCGTGCTTTTTCACGCGCGCGATTTAACTCCAGATGCAAATCAAAAATTTAAAGGACATATATTTATGATTTCGATTTGCAAAAATGAAATGCCGATACATAACTATCAGGGTCATCTTTAAATTTTGATAAATAAACAAGATAGATCGTCATTCAACTTCTTGTTAATTAAATTCTCGAAAACGGATCGATTTTTGCTTTCATGTCCCTTGTAAAACTTTGATTTTGCATTTTTAGAAGCTTTGCATAAGCGTTTCCGGAGCGTGGCGGGCCACGCTCATTTCGGCGTGGTTTATTAAGAGGCACGCGCGCCAGCGTGGCTCTCCACGCTCCGGAAGAGCGTGGCCGGCCACGCTTATGCGGCGCATGCAAGCGTCGACCCATGTATAATCTAGGCCACCGCTTCGTAGGCCACCCGACCGTGGCCTCGGGGAGATACCGGCCTATCAGCCGTCTCTAACATCGTCCTCGTTGGACCGAGAGTGCTCCAGTTTCGTGAACTCCCAAGCTGTCACCCAGGCTACAAGCTGCACGATTTTCCAGCAAATCCACCGCTAAAAACTCAAGTTTCAGCGCTCCAATCTCTGCCAAAAACATTGGGCGATACCGAGCCATCGGGCACTGGGTTGCTAGCGGGGGGAAGGGGAGATATTGATCGGGGGAACCTAATTTTTGTTTTTCCACCTATTCGACCCGGTAAATAACAATATACAATTTCGAAATGGCCAAAATTTTGGCATTTTAGGGTCATTTTTCACGGGCCAAAAAGTCGTCGAAATTTTTTGATTTTAGGAGAGTTTTATATCTAAAAATCGTTTAAAATGCTATAAGGACCTTTGTGACATGGCCGTACGTGATTACGGAGAAAATTTTGCCCCCCGCAAAAGATCCAGTGCCGCTAGCGTGTGACCATGCGAGCGTGGCTATCGAGCGACCCAGTGACCGTAACCCGCCCCTGCCCAGGTGGACGGCGCCCCTCCTTTCTCTGCGTCTCTCACCCCCAATCCCCGAATTTCACAAGATTTCATGTTTTTCGAATACTTTTCATAATTTCTAGATATTTTTAGCGTTACAAACTATATTTCTGTTTTCCAGAAGATGAGCATCTTCTCGGGACGCAGCCGCTTCCTCGGCTACGAGACGGACGTGATCACCGCCGTCAAGCAGCTCCCCCGCGACATCTTCTACCTCACCACCAATGGACGGTAAGATAATATGATTTTAGAACCCTTATAGCGGAATATAAACCATTTTTGTATGTTAGTTTACACAGTTTTAGGTATAAAAATTCGAAAATTTCGGGCTTTTTGTTGATAAATGCATCAAAAATGACCACCGAAGGTCATAATTTTCGAATTTTTCGTATTTGTAACTTTCCAGCAATCAAAAACCCTGAAAAACGCGATAAAAAAGATTCATTATCTTTGACAGACTTTTTATAGCTCTGATTTAGAATCATCGACACCGAGGCGTTGGATGGGCTGGGCAAAGACGAGCCGTTCAACGTCGTCTTCCGCCTGCCGGGCGGCAAGGGCGGATTCGGGGCCCTCCTCCGCTCCTTCCGCGTCAACAAGAGCACCAACAAGGACATGATGAGGTTCATTTCTCAAATCTGATCAATTATGAAGCGTTTTTGGGACATTTTTCGGTCCTTCGGCATTATTGGGGGAGATGGGCTTTTTTTTGTCAGTCTAGAAATGCAGCGTAACGTAATAGAAACTCTCTTAATGGTGTTTTAGTTAAATCTAAGTATACTTCAACTATAAGGACTATCTAAGCACTTTAAAAATGACTGCCAACCTCAAAATCGGCCATCTTGACTTGAAAAATATTTTGTTGTGTTTTTTAAGGAAAATTTGTAGATTTTACACGTTTAGGAATCGTCAAAAGCGGTTCAGAACCACTTCTACGATTTTTAACCCGTTCTTTACAGGAATCTCGATGGCCGTCGCCTTGGTGCTGTGGAGAAAGAGAAGAAGATCCGCAAGTGGTTCGAGAAGAAGGAGGAACGCGAGCGGTTGGCCGTCGAGAAAAGGTTGATTGATTTCGATTACCCGAAACTCCCCCCATTTTCCAGAAAGGCCAAGATGGCCAAGCTGAAATCGAAGGCCCCGCACGACTTCAAGGAGTCCGAGCAGTTCGAGGAGGAGCGCAAGGAGCTCGAGGAGAAGGCTGAGGCCGCCTTTGAAGACGGTAGCGTAATTCTCGGCCTGAAAATGTATTTCTGCTTTTTTAGCCCTGAAAAACCTGCTCGAATCGACGGACGCTGGCGACGACAAGAAGAAAAAGAAGCAGAAGACGAGCCAGGAGCCGCAGTCTTCTTCATCTGATGACTCGGACTCCGATCCCGAAATGCCCGGCACCAGCGGGTAATTTTTAGAGTGATTTTGGTGCAAAAACATTCAATGCCGAATTTTAGATGAAAAAAATAGTCTTTTTGCGCAAAATTGAAATTCTCAGATTTTTGCTGAGTTTTTAGGATTCTCTGAGTTTTCTGGAGCTTCAAATATGGCTGGATTTTGGTAAAAATGGTATAAAAAATACGAAAATATGGATTTTTCGAGAGTTGTAATTTGGTTGAAAATTTTAGAATGTTTTCCCGGAAATAGATACAACTGAGAAAAACGGATTTTCTATCCAAAATCGCCTTTTTGAGCAAAATTTCAATTCTCAGATTTTTTCTCGGGTTCCTAGATGTTTTTCGCCCGAAATATGGCTACATTTCCGCGAAAAGACGTGATTTTCGTTTTTTCATTTTTTAGGACGAGATTCTAGTCGAAAATAGATATTTTTGGTGTTTTTAATGAAAAAAAGTTACGTTTTAAAATAGTAAAACCCCTGGAAAATAGTTTGCCCCCCCCGATAATGCAAAAGAACCGTTTTGTAATACGAATTTGCAGGTTCTCCTTCGGCAAGAGCAAGAAGCGAAAGGCCGTCCACTTCGGGGAGGCCGACCTGGGCCCGTCAGCCGCCAAGAACAAGCGACAAGAGACGGTGACGGTGACCGTGGTTGAACAGCCGAAAGTCGAGGTGAGACTAGCTCCGGTACTTTGGCATTATCAGGGGGCCAGATCCTTTTTTGAAAACCCCAAAAAATCCGTATTTTTGCTCGAAAATCAATATTTTTGGTCAAAAATCGATTGTTTTCGCATCAAAAATGTGGCATAAAAACATCACATTTCTATCTGACTTTTATAAATATTTTATATATATTTTTGAATAGATTTTTATGGTCATTTTGATTTTTCTAGATCCAGATTTTATTGGGTAAATTTTAAACAGTTAATTTTTTTAGAAACCCATTGTCAAGAAGCCGGAAGTGGTCGTCGAGAAGGCCGAGAAGCCCCAGCCGCAAGCAGAAGCCCCAGCCACGAAAAAGGAGGAAGAGACTCCCTCGCCTCCCAAGGACTTCCCGGCCGTACTGCTCGACGACTTTGCTGACGCCGCCCAGCTCCAGGCCCTCGGACTCCACCATCTGAAGCACGCGCTGGAAGGTAATTTTTATGTTGCAAAGCTTTTAAGAAAATTTCCTTGTTTTCGTTTTTTCGAAAATAAAAAAGCATTTTTCTGATTTTTGAGTCGTATAAATCGGATTTTGTAGCAAAAAAGCGCCTCTTTTACGCATTTTTAGCGTCTGCCCGCTTTTGTGACAAAAAAAAACATATTTTTTGAGTCGTAAACTTTGTAAATTAAGCAGTTTGTATGGTTTTAAATTTGCAAAAACCGGATTTTCTAGGCAAAATTGACGTTTTTACGGGCCGGGGTGAATATAGTTAGAAACAACGCGAAAAAATTGGCCTTTTTGAGTCTACATAGATGATTTTTAAATGCTTAATAATTTTAATAAAAAAATTGGCAAAATTTTGATAATCAAAAATTTCAGTCTTTTTTTCAGCGCGCGGCCTGAAGTGCGGTGGATCGTTGGAGGAGCGCGCGGCGCGTCTCTACTCCATCAAGGGACTGCCCGCCGACAAATACCCCAAGAACATCCGCGCCGCCGCCCGGCCGAAGCCAGCCAAGAAGTGAAGCCAAGTCTGCCAAGCCCGCCAAGCCGCCCCCGTCGGAACTTTCGCATTATCGGGGAGGGGGGGGGGCTTTTTCAAAAACCAATACCGGAATTGTTTCTAACATTTTTTTGCTGTTCCTAGACGTAAAAAAATTACAAATTTGGTTGAAACGGCAAAAAGATATGATTTTTCGACCCGAAAATTTGGGCTAAATTTCTGTTTTTCTTTCACTTTCTGTTTTCAGTTTTATGCCCCCCCCGATACTGCGAAAGTACCCCCGGTCGGCAGGCGCTGGATTTGAACATTTCTGGTCGTTGTCCTTTTCCCATATACATTTCCGCTTGGTTTAATCGTGTTTATATTTATTTAATTATGTTTTTTCCTCGCGCCCCGCCCCTCGAATAAATGGTTACAAAGTGAGAGCGTGTTTTTTTAATAATTTTACTGGCTTTATATTGAGCCCGATGGTCTCTTGAAACGGTTGTATCGAAGTAATACGGCGATTTTTAAGCTTCTAACGCTTTCCCGCGTCGAAAATCGCCCCCAAATGTCTATTTTAAGGTTTTTTTTAATGAATGAAAGCAATACGCCAATTTAGAAGTTGCGATTTCGTCGAAAAACTAGTTTAAACGAGTTTTTTAGGCTTTTACTGGCTTGATATCGAGCCCGATAGTTTTTGCATCTGTTTTTATTGGGTATTTTAAGCCTTGAGATGCCTTTCTTAACAGATTTTTCTTGTTTTAGGAAAATAACAAAAGCAATACGACAATTTTAGGGCTTCTAACTCTTTTTGAGCGCTCATTTCCGCGCGCGTGGCTTCGAAAATTCGTGGACATGCTTATTTCGATGTTTTTATGAATTTTACCGGCGAAAAATGCAATAATACTTGAAATTTGGGGCAGGAAACTCGTCAAAATTGAATTTTGAAGCTTCTAGAGAATTTTCGGCGCTGATTTCCGTGTTTCTGGCGTTGAAAAACCTCACAAATCCGTATTTTAAGGGTTTTATGCAATGAATGAAAGCAATCCGCCAATTTAGAAGTTGCGATTTCGTCGAAAAACTAGTTTAAACGAGTTTTTTAGGTTTTTATTGGCTTGATATCGAGCCCGATGGTCCCTTGAAACGGTTGTATCGAAATAATACGACGATTTTTGAGCTTCTAACGCTTTCCCGCGTCGAAAATCGCCCCCAAATGTGTATTTTAAGGGGTTTTTTAATGAATGAAAGCAATACGCCAATTTAGTGCCAACTTCTAATTAGAAGTTGCCATTTCTTCGAAAAACTAGTTTAAACGAGTATTTTAGGCCTTTACTGGCTTTATATTGAGCCCGATGGTCTCTTAATCTGTTTTTCGGGTATTTGAAGCCTTGAGATGCCTTTTTTTTGAAAGATTTTTCTTGTTTTAAGGAAATTACAAAAGCAATACGACAATTTTAGAGCTTCTAACGCTTTTTGAGCGCTCATTTTCGCGCGCGTGGCTTCGAAAATTCGTGAACATGCTTATTTCCATGTTTTTATGAATTTTACCGGCGAAAAATGCAGTAATACTTGAGATTTGGAGCAGGAAACTCGTCAAAATTGATTTCTGAAGCTTCTAGAGAATTTCCGGCGCTGATTTCCGTGTTCTTGGCGTTGAAAAACCTTGCAAATCTCTATTTTAAGCGTTTTATCAAAAGAATGAGAGCAATACGCTAATTTAGAGGTTACGATTTCTTCGAAAAACTAGTTTAAACGAGTTTTTTAGGTTTTTACTGGCTTGATATCGAGCCCGATAGTTTTTGGATCTGTTTTTATTGGGTATTTTAAGCCTTGAGATGCCTTTTTTAAAAGATTTTCGGTTCTTTCGCATTTCGCAAAGCACAAAAAGTCCAAATTTTGCCCAAAAACGGTAATTTCTAGTAGTTAGTCTAGTTCGTTTTGGGAGCTTATTTACCAATTTTTTTGCGCGTTCGGCGTGCGTCTCGTTGCAGGGTTTTTGGCTAGTTTTTATGCTAGTTACGAATTTAGCAAAAAAAACCCTGGAAAACCGCTCAATTCTCTACTCTACGCTTGATTTACTTTGATTGATTGATTTACCGCCGGGAATGCCTAGTAACTTGATTGAAACTATTTGAAGCGTTTTTTGTAGCCACCTTCCGCATTTGTAGCGTCGAAAGCTGCTCAAAATTGTTATTTTGATGAGTTTATGGAAGCACGACGCTAAATTTGAAGCGACAATACCTTTCAAAGATTAGTTAAAACATAATTTTAGGGCTTTCAGGCTTTTTTTCCGCGCTCATTTTCACGTGGATAGCTTCGAAAATGGATATTTTTATGCTTTTCCTCGTTTTTGGAGCTTTTTTGCCAGTTTGTTGCATTCGGCGTGCGTTTCGTCGAGATTTTTTGCGGGGTTCTAGGCTAGTTTTTATGCTGGTTGTGAATTCGGCAAAAAAACCTTGGAAAACCGCTCACTTCTTTACTTTACGCTTGATTTTACTTTGATTTGGCCGGCTGGAAATGCGTAGTAACTTGATTGGAACTATTTGTTGCGTTTTTTGTGTGAAATAAAACTATATTCGAACTAGAAAACTATCTAAAAGTATCAAAAGGTCGAAACATTGCTCAAAAACGCCGATTTTTAGGTGGAAAAGGCTTTATTTGGGTTTTTGGACGATATTTTTGTATTTTTAACACGAATTTCGAAAGTTTTCACGTTTAGCAAAATTAAAAACCGTTTAGATACGCTTTCCCTGTTTCTTTAGCAAAATTCGAGCCTAAACCCCTCATTTTCCGACAAATCCGTCCATTTTTCCTTTTTTCCGCTTCGTTTTTCGCTGTTCTCGGCATGTTCTGCTACCGCAATCTTCCACTGTACTTGTTCCAGATGACGGCCAAGACTGCGGTGAAGCGGAAGGGCAATGCCGAGGCCGCCAGGCCCGCCAAGGTATCATTTACAGCTTTTTCGGCTTCAATCTCGCTTTTTAGGCCACCGAAAAGAAGCCGAAGCTCGACGAGGGCAGCGACGCCGAGGAGGAGCAGGACAAGCCGGCCAAGACGCGCGCCCCTCGCCCCGTTGATGAACAGCAAGTGCTTCAGGGAATCCAGGGCCAGGTATTAAACATTTCTAAAGTTTTCCCTGGTCATTTTCGGGAATTTTTTGCCGGTTTTTGATTGTCTAGACTCGACTTGGCTTCAACGGCTTTGCTTTGCTTACTTTTGGCTTGAGTTAACTTGGCGTAGCTTTGGCGAAAGCTTGACTTGAACTTCCGCTATTTTCGGCTTCGTTTTGGCATACCTAAAGCTTGCTGAGCTTAGCTTAGCGCCCCGACTTGGTCGGGAAGCTCGCTTTAACTGACTTTCCGGCGTGGCTTAACTTTTCTTAGCGCGGGCTTTGCGTGGCTTAGTCGTTGGCTCGGCTTGGCTTGGCGTAGCTTGACTTATCCTACTTAACTTGGCGTAGCTTGGCGAAAGCTTGACTTGAACTTCCGCTATTTTCGGCTTCGCTTTGGCAAAGCTAGCTTAGCGTAGCTTGACTTAGCCGGGGGCTTATCCTACTTACTTTCGGCTCAGCTTAGCTCAAAAATTCCCGAAAAATGACCATTCAAGCGTTTCTATTATTGTTTTTTTTTGCCGACAAACACCCCTTTTTAGGCGCGCGCGGCGATGGTGGCGATGAAGAAGCACGTGGAGCAGAAGGACCAAAAGTCCCTGTTCCCCGACATTGACCAGGCGGCCGAGCTGCACGTCATCCTCAAGAAGACCCCCGCCCAGTGCCCCAGTCTTCGCCACAAAATGTGAGCCGGGCTTTGCAGTTTTGGGGGCTTTCGCAATATCGGGGGTGTACGGTGTATTTCCAAACTGTTTTTTTTTACAATTTTCAACGTAAAAAATCCAAATTTCATTGAAAAATGGTAAAAATTTCGGTATTTCGACGAAAAATGGTCGATTTTGAGCAAAATTTCGACTTTTCAGATGGTTTTCTAGTTTAAATCTAGTTTAATTGTGCTTTTTTCGTTTTGTTTACCCCACCCCCGATATTGCAAAAGGTCCAGGGGTTTTTTTGAAAATTCCTCTTATTTTCAGTTGCCTCCCGCACACGGAGCGCACGCTGAAGAACACGCGGATCCTGGTGATCCTGCCCGATCTCGATCGCTCCCAGGAGGCCAGGGTATGAGCATGAGCTTTTGATGGAAAGTATTGCCCTTCTTTGCAGTATGATCAAGACGTCGACAAGCAGGCACGTGAATGGGAGCAGAAGCTCGAGGATGACCACGGCATTCGCGTCGGCACCCACGTCACCAAGGTGCCGCTTTTTGGCGGGCGTGGGCAAAAAATTATTTGGGCTTTGGCTTGGCTTGACTGGGCCGTGGCTTGGCTTTTAGATACGCTTGACTTAGCCGGAGCTTGACTTTGGCTTGGCTTAGATTTTGGAGCGGCTTGGCTTAGCTGAGCCGTTTTATAGCTATTCTTGACTCCCAGAAGCTTAGCTTAGGCTTTAGATAGGCTTGGCTTAGCTGAGCCTTTCTATAGCTGCGCTTGACTTCCGGAAGCGCAGCTTTTCGATACGCTTGACTTGGTTGGCTAGGCCGAGGCTTAGATTTTAGAGCGGCTTGGCTTAGCTGAGCCGTTTTATAGCTATTCTTGACTCCCAGAAGCTTGGCCTAGGCTTTAGATGGGCTTGACTTGGGCGGAACTTAACTTTGGCTTGGCTTGAAGCTTTACCAGAAGCTTAGCTTTTAGGGTGGTTTTGCTGAAGTAAACCCTTTTTATAGATGCGCTTGACTTCCGGGAGCTTAGCTTTTAGATACGCTTGACTTGGTTGACTAGGCCGAGGCTTTGCTTTTAGAGCGGCTTGGCTTAACTAAGCCCTTTCTATAGCTGCGCTTGACTTCTGGAAGCTTGGCTTAGGCTTTAGATAGGCTTCACTTGGCCGAAGCTTGGCTTTTAGATGCGTTTGACGTAGCCGACGCCTGACTTTGGCTTGGCTGAACTTACCAGAAGCTTAGCCTAAACTTTAGATAGGCTTGACTTGGGCGAAGCTAAGCTTGACCAAGTCGAGGCTTAGCCTTTGGAGTGGCTGCGCTTACCTAAGACGCAATTTGGATCGAAAATTGATCATTTTTGGGGGGAGAAAAACCGACATTTTCTGTAGTTTTCGTCAAAATTTGGAAAGTTTTTGCGTTTAGGGACGGCAAAAAAAAAGAGAGTTTAGAAACGTTTGCGTGATTTATATTAGAAAAATTGCGTGCTTGGGAAAAATTCTCTACCCCCGATAATGCAAAAGAACCGCAGCAACGATTTCGGCTTTTCCAGGTGGTGACCAAGCGGCAGCTGGAGCGTGAGAATCGGCAGCCCGTCCAGAAGCGCCAGCTCTCGCGCGCCTACGACATCTTCTTGGTATTGAAATTGAGCGTTTTTCCTTAATAATTTCATGTTGAGGTTGACAGCCGCGTGGCCAAATCGGTGTACACCTTCCTCGGCAAACCCTTCCACATGAACAAAAAGTCGGCCGACTTTTTTTGGCTTAATTTTTTAATTTTTCCAGATCGCCGCAAGAATTCAAGTACGGACGCCCGCTGGCCGACGCGATCCAGCTCGCCCTCAAGTCGGCCTATTTCTACACGTTGCCCCGCGTCGAGCGGGTAATTTTTCGTGACTTGTTTACATCCGTTTTTCCTAAAAATGATTTTTTTTCTGGAATTTTCTAGAATTGTTTTTTTGGACGTTTTCGGGCTTGAAAATTACAATTTTTTTGTGTACAGGTCTAGAAATGCATAGTAGCTTAATGGGAAGCATATTAATATTATTTTTAATACAATAAACTATTTCAACTAGAAAGTCTAGCTAAAAACGTTCAAAAAAATTTTTCGTGACCTTCATTTTTTCCCGAAAATAATTTTTATTGCCTGAATTTCCTATTTTTTTATGAGCTTGAAATGTTATAAAACTATTCGTCGATTCTATTCCTAAACAAAAACTGCAATTTTGGCAAAAAAAATAGAAAGAATATGGATTTTTTCGACCAAAAATGGGCAATTTGCAACTAAAAAAATTTATTCTTTTTACGCTTAAAAATAGTTAAATTTTGCTGAAAACGCTATTCGAATTTCTAAACTAGGAATTTCTGACAGATTTTCATGATGTGTTTTTTAATACAATAAAACTAAATTTTCGACTAGAAAATCTAGCTAAAAAGTTCAAAATTTCTTGAAAAAGTCGAAATTTACGGAAAATTCGATATTTTTTGCCTTTTTCACGGTTTTTGCCGTATTAAAAACGAGATTAGAAACGCTTTTGCTATTTATATGTGAAAAATTGAGGCTACGAAAAATCTCCCCCCCGATAACGCACCAGAACCGGAAGAATTCATTATTCCATTGCAGACGCACGTCGAATTCGGGCACTTTGGCCAGCCGAACTCGCAGCTCGGCGAAAACTTTGATGCCGTGAGTTTTGTCCGATTTTTCCTAGCGATTTCCCCTAGTTGCTGGCGGGCGTTGTGAAGCACACCCCAGGTGGATTGGCCAACATTCGCGGATTGTACATCAGCCCGCCCAGCTGCACCCCCTTCCTCCAGGTCTACGGCGATGATGGTACGCGCTTTTTTGGGTTGGATCAGCAGAAAAAAATTGCTAAAAGCTTCCCAAAACGTTTTAAAGTCGAAATTTGGCCAAAATTGACTGTTTTGCGTCGAAAAATCGATGTTTTTGTCTTCCCAAAACATTTTAAAGTCGAAATTTGGCCTAAAATCGACTGTTTTCCGTCGAAAAATCTATTTTTTTTTTTGTATTTTGAATGCAAATTTCTGCGGTTTTACGTTCAGGAATAATAAAAAATTAAAAACTTTTGCTATTGATTTTCCGAAAACCCGGGTTTTTGGGATCAGAAAAACAAGAGTATTGAAAGTTTTTTTGTCTTTAAAAGATGCATTTATTTTTTTAAAGCTTCGGGGAAAGTTACAATTTTTTTACCGTCTCGAAAATGGGGCTTTTGGTGAAAAAACAACAGATTTGGCGCTGCTTTGTGCTTTTCGTGGTTTTAGGGCCCGATCAGCGTTGAAAAATCGAGTTTTCGACTCCAGGAAATTTTTTAATTTTTAGGGGTTTTTACTTTAAACTAATTTTTGTAAAGGAAGATTTCCTCCAGGTCTACGGCGGTGATGGTACGCTTTTTGTTTAGGTTGGATCAGCAGAAAAAATAGCTCTAAAAGCTTCCCAAAACATTTTAAAGTCGAAATTTGGCCAAAAATCGACTGTTTTGCGCCGAAAAATCGCGGTTTTTGTATTTTGAATGCAAATTTCTACGGTTTTACGTTCAGGAATAAAAAAAAATTAAAAACTTTTGCTATTTATCTTTTGAAAAATCGGATCCTTGGAAAAAACGAGGAATTTGCTCAAATATCTAAAAAATAATTTCTGTGCTGTGGTTTGGGGTGATTTTTTTTGATTTCAGGCGCCGCTTCGGCTGTCAGCATGAAGAAGCCGCTGAAGAAGGTGCAGCCGACCATCGTCGACGAGTTGACCACCATTCCCGACGGGCTCAAGGTACGTCCTTTCGGCTGATTTCCTCCAATTTCCGCCTGGTTCAGGTGTCCGTCCTCCCGTCCGGCAAGACGCGCGTCATCCGCGAGGCGGACAACGTCGCCGTCCTCTATCCAACAAGTCAGCATTTTAAATTACATTATTTACAAGTTTAAATAAGTGTAAAAATTAGCTTTCAAGTTTTATAGAGTTTAGAAATGACAATTATTGAAAAATTTTATGTTTAGAGTTATTTACAAGTTTTATACCATTTTTAAAATTTGTTTTAGAGCTTTGAAAAATTGAGAAATTAAAAATTTTCGAAAGTTTACAATTTTTATGATTTATAACCATTTTCAATAATTTTTTACAATTCCATTAATTGTCTCTCTTTAGCGGCCGATGAATGGGAAGCGCGCGACGACCTGAAGCCGACGATCAACCCCGAGCGGGAGGCGAACAAGCGCGCCAAACGCCACGCCAAGATCGAGCAGGACAAGAAGAGGAAGAAGGCGGTCAGTTTTTTTCAGAGTTGAGAAACGTTGCGTAATCGATTATGGTTTTTCTAAAATTCGAAAATTGTCTTTTGACTTTTCTAAGCGTTTTTTAGATGGCGTAATCGATTCGGGCTATTTCTAAATTCGAAACTAGTCATTTTTAATAATTTTTCATTGCGTAATTGATTCTGGCTTTTGCTATGATTCGTAAATTGTCATTTTTGCATTTCTAGGCGTTTTTTAGATGGCCAATCGATTCCAGCGTTTTCTAAATTCGAAAATAGTTCTTTTGTAGCGATTTTACGTGGCGTAATCGTTTTCAGCTGTTTTTGTAAATTCGAAATAGCCCATTTTTGAGCGAATTAATTGATCCCCGAGCCTTTTCCAAATTGTTATTATTGTTTTGAAAGGTGTATTTTAGCATTATTTTAATTCGAAAATAGTCATTTTTTTATCAATTTACATAGCGTAATCGATTGTTATGCTCCTAATATTCGAAAGCACACATTTTTGTCGGGAATTTACATTGTGGAATCGATTCTAACGGTTTTTAAATCCCATTTTTAACGATTTTCCCTGGCGTAATCGATGTAGCTAGTTTTTTCTGCTTCGAAAATGCCAATTTTTAATCGCTTTACATCGCGTGATCGCTTCCAGCGTTTTCTAAATCTAAAAATACCCATTTTTGACCATTTTAGGTGGCGTAATCGTTTTTAGCGTTTTCTAAATTTGAAAATACCACTGTTTTCGATTTTTTCACGGTATTTTACAACCCTTTTTGCAGGCAAAGAAAGCGGGCGGCGCGGCGGCGTCGGGCAAGTCGGTGGTGGCGAACGCGGCGGGGATGTTGGTACCCGCGACGGGGGTCGAGCCGAAGAAGGAGGAGGTCAAGGAGGAACAGGTTCGACTTCTTCGCTTTTTTTAGATTTTTCTCTTTTAGTAAAATTTAACTAGATTAAAAAAAACTATCGAAAAGTTAAAAAAAATTTTTGAAAGGTCGAAAATGGCCATTTTCGCTTTTTCATTTTATCTTTCCATGTATCTGTTTTCTTCTAGGTCGACTACAGCGCCGCGGAAGCTGTTGAAGAGCCGGACAGCGACGTCGAGCAGGTCGAGCCGCCCCTGAAGAAGGCCAAGAAGACGGAAAAGGTGCCCCTAAACGCGAAAATTTTGCAATTTTTTTAGGCGATAGATGTTTTTTACTAAAATTACTATTTTAAAAATTAAAAAACGTTTAATTTCCAATTTTTTAGGCGAAAAAGGCGACGCCGATCGCGCCGCTTGGGGAGGAGGAGGGCGGCAAGAAAAAGAAGAAGCTGAACAAGCCGGTGAAGAAGGGCAACAAGGCATCGCCGGCGATCCAGAAGAAGAAGAAGATGAACAACAACGGCAACAAGGACAAGAAGACGAAGACGGCCAAGGCACGCTAAGGAGCCGAGAGAAGGAATCTAATTCGTTGTTGTCTCTCTCTCTCCCTCGCCTCTCTCCTCTCTCGCTTTCTATTGAGAGAGAGAATTGTTGATTTGTTACATTGTTATTGCCATCGAATTTGTTGCTTTGTTTTTGCCTGATTGTTTTGTCGAATAAAGAGTTACCCGATATTTTGGAGGAATTTGCGGAAATTGGAAAAATACAGGATATCCTGATGCTTTTAACGTTGTGAATTTCGAAGGGGATATTTTAGCTTTTTCTAAAATACATTTTAAAATGTTTTTGGATAGCGTAATCCATTTTAGCTTTTTCTAAATTCCATTTTTCAATGTTTTACATTGGTTCTTCCATTTTAGGTTTTGCGAAAACTCGAAAATATCCATTTTTATTCATTTCACATAGATTAATTCATTTTAGGTTTTTCTAAAATTCGAAAATACCCATTTCTAATGATTTTCTATAGCGTAATCGATTCTAGATGGCTTTTTTGATTCGAAAGACGCATTTTTAATCAGTTTAAATGGCGCGATCCATTCTAGCGCTTTTTCGGGTTGTTTTGGCGAATAACGAGTTACCCGGTTTTGAATTTTGGAGGAATTTGCGGAAATTGGAGGCAATACAGGATATCCTGACGCTTTTAACCTTGCGAATCGCGAACGGGGATATTTTAGCTTTTTCTAAATTCCATTTTTAATCATTTTACATTGATTCTTCCATTTTAGGTTTTTTTAAAACTCGAAAATACCCATTTCTGATGTTTTTTCGATAGCGTAATCGATTCTAGCTGGCTTTTTTGGTTCGAAAGACGCATTTTTAATCATTTTAAATGGCGCGATCCATTCTAGCGCTTTTTCGGGTTGTTTTGGCGAATAAAGGGTTGCCCCTAGTGTTTTTTGGTTTTTGGTTTTTTGCTAGCTATTTCTAAAGCCAAAAACAGCCGTCTCTGACGATTTTCTATAGCGCAATCGATCCTAGCTAGCTGTTTCTGGTGGCGAAATACGGATATCGAATATTAGGTATTTTTGCTTTTCCTAAAATTCATTTTTAAATGTTTTACATCGTGTAATCGCGTTTAGCTTTTCCTTAACTTCGAAAATAATCATTTTTATTCATTTCACATTGATTCTTCCATTTTAGGTTTTTCTAAAATTGGAAAATACGCAGTTTTGACTATTTTCCATAGCGTAATCGATTCTAGCTGGCTTTTTTTGATTCGAAAGACGCATTTTTAACCGTTCTAAATGGCGCGATGCCTCTTTTTCGGGGTTGAGCTGCAAATGAAAATACAAGATATCCTGACGACAATTTCGAATGGGGGTAATTCACAATTTTTCGGCGTTCTTTTTCACCAATCATTCTCGATTCTTTTCCACCAATTCATTATTTTTTTTTGCAGGCCAATGTCATTACCGTGGTACTACCTGGAGCACGCAACGCGACGCCAATTGTTAAAGTGAGCTTTTACGCCGGGGGTTATTAAAGTGCTTTTTGGCCTCCCGCGTTTATCGATTAAATCCCGTTTTCTAGAGCGTACTACTGGACGTGCTTTCTCGCGTACCCTGCCTACGTCGCCGTCAACTACCAGAGGGCCATCCCCACCAAACAACAGGTATCTTTCACTTTGATTTTGTGATGCCAGGGTTTAATTATCATTGTTTTTTTCTTTTTAAACTTTTATTTTCTTTAGATTTCCTGCTGATTAGTAGCGTAGAAAAAAATATAGCATTTTCCGTACTATTCAAGTTGGGGGGGCAAAATTTTTTTAGGTCATTTTTGGGCTAACTGAACGGTTTTTCGCGGCTAATTCAGCGCAATAGTCAACTCGTAAGCTAAGCTAAACCGAAGCACAGTTAAATTGAGCTTGAACAAAGCTAAGCTGAAGCCAAAAGCAGTGGAGCTGTGACGAAGCCACCTAAGGACAAGGTGCTAAGGCTTCGGCTAAGCCTAAGCCTAAGGCCAGGTTAAGCTAGGCCTTAGCTAAGCCTAAACCTAGGCTAAGGCCTAAATCAAGCCAATACTAAGCTAAGCTAAGCCTAAGCCAGAGAAAAACTGACCAAGTAGCCTAGAAGTGACCCAAAAAATTTTGCCCCCCAACTTGAATAGTACCGAATTTTCCAGTTTGACATTCAAAACATTGCAGATTTCGAGGAAAATTTTGATTTTTTAGTCATAAACCGCTTTTTTTGCAGTTTTTAGGAATTTTGGAGTCGATTCGGTCATATCATATCCTTTTTTTACCCGTTACGCGTCTACGGTACAATTTAATATGCTTTATAAATTTAATTCTAGTTCGAGAATCGACTTTTTTTTGTTTTTACAGTTTTTAGGTTTTTGGAACCAATAATGAATCAATGGAATATGCCTTAAAAATTTTATTATATTTGGAAAATCGATTTTTTTCGATAGAAAATTCTAAAAAATCGGAGTTTCTTGCCTTTTTTGAAATTTTAAAATTCGCAATATCGATTACGCTATCAAATTCCCCATTTTTTTGCAGGTGCTCGGCACGCGGAACCTGAAGGAGTACGTGGCCCCCGCCGAGTTCAAGCCGCACCCCCAGGATTTCACGCCGAAGAAGCTGTACAGGGAGGAGGGCGACGCGAAATGACGAGGAACCGACGACGTTTCGCTTTGTAGTTTGTAGTTTTGCGCCCGTATTTTGTTTTGATTATTCGCGTTTTTTTGCTGCTCATTTTCGCGAGTGTCGATTGTCATTTGGTGTTGTACGTATTTTGAAGGGATAAATCGCGCAAAATATCGCCTTTTTCGTTGTTACAGTAGTATGCCATTTTTAGATTTTACTAATTTTTGTGTAGACTTTATTTTGATGCCTCGTCGCCGATGACTTCTTCGTGCTGCACGTACAAATCCTCGTCGCTGCACACGAGCGCCTGCAAAAAGGCGGCTTTTTGGTACTGGGCTCTTAGCGGGGGTGGGATTTCTCCAAAAATCGCTGCTAGATTGCCCGAAAATGCAGAATCCCAGTTTTCCCCAAAAATCTTTGCTAGCTTGCCCGAAAATTGAAAAATTCTGGCGTTCCTGAAGGATCTTTGCTAGATGCCCCAAATTCTCAAAAATTTCGGCTTTCCCCAAGGATCTCTGCTCGTTGGCCTGCTCGAAAATTGGCCAAATTCCGCAAAGAACCTCTGCTAGATTGCCGAAAACGACCGAATCCGGGCATTCCGAAAGGGTCGCTGCTAGCTTGCCATGAGATGGGAAAAATTCCGGCTTTCCCGAAGAATCTCTGCTAGCTGGGACCCCCCAAAAAATCGATAATTCCCGCCCGGCGTACCTCGTCCGTAAAGAGGAATTGCGTAGCTTCGGGGTGCTGCCGGAAGTCGTCGAGCTGTTCAAAGGGCGGGAAATCGTAGCCGACCGTCTCGGCTTCTTGTGGCTCGTAATTCTCCAAGTAGCTGCAAAACTCCGGAATAAAAATATGTAAAATAATATGTAAAAAATAGCCGATTAAAATACGAATAATTCGATAAATCCGAAAAACTACCGTAACCCAAAAAATTCTATTAATTTTAATTTTTAACGAGCAAAAATGGGTCATTTATTTGAATCATCTTTTTTTTGTAATAGAACTAAATTAAGGAAATGTTGAATTTTCTTTTTTAATTGTTTGATTTAAGGTAAGTTTTTATTGTTCAATCGATTTTTAATTTAGTAACGAATTAAACGGCTTAATAAATTAAAGTTAAAAAAATTTTTATTTTCGTGTTTTTAGTAGTAAAAAATAAATTAACGAATTAAACTGCTTGACAAATTAATATTAAAGATTTTTTAATTAATTTTTTTAGTATATAAGTTTACTTTTATCAAAAAAAAACTAAAAATTTTAGTTTTTGAAAATTCAAAAAAAATACCCGGGTTCTTGCTGAAAATATTGTTCATCTTCTTCTGCTTCTTCAGGCCGCCCGTCGTCGTAAGGTAGTAATTCCGCATATTTTCTTTTTAATTGCCTAAAATTTGGGGTTTATTCATTTAACAAATAATAATAAAAAATGTTGCAATTTCTTTCTTGAAAAATTAAAGTTTAAATAAATAAAAACGATTAAAAATTCGATTTTCTATTTTTTCGAAAAATTAGATTTTTTATTTTTATTCTGGCAAAAATTTAAGTTGCCATAAATTTTAAATTACTAGAACATGAGAGCGATTTAAAAATAAAGTTTATTAAAAATTAAAAATTAAAATGAATTAAAAACATTAAAAATTAAAATTCAAAAATTAATTAATTTAGCTAAAAATTTAACCAATTTGTTCTTGTTGATTTAATTAAATTTTTAATTTAATTTCTTTTTTAAAAATGTCAGGAATTTCGAAGAAAATACCGTAATCCGTTTGCCGCGTCGCCAGCCGGCAGTAGAACAACTTTACTCGGCGATGACGTCGCCACGATTTGGTAAACCTGGAAATGGGGCTAATTAGCAGGGGTTCTTTGCGGTTTTTTAGCCCTATTTAAGTAATATTTATCTAACGCCCAGAATCGCAAAAAAAAAAGAAAAATTTGAATTTTTTAAAATCCAAAATTTGATTTTTGTAAATTAAAAATTTCATTTTTTTGACAAAATAAATTTTTTTTTGCATATTTTTGGTTTTATTTCCGCGCTACCGTACCCTCTTCTGGCGAACGGGCAGCAGCGGGCCGGCGACGTCGACCTGCTCGCAGTTGACCATCAGCCGGCGCCGTACTTCTTGCTTCTGCGCCGCCGTCAGGTACTCGAGGCCCTGGGCTGAAAATTCAGGTGGCGAGGATTGTAGTTTGTAGCCTGGCTGCCATTTTAGCCATCCCAGCCGAAAAATCAACTCAAATTTCAAAAAGCAAAAAGTTGGCCGCGGCCGGGGGTCGAACCCACGTCGGTCGCCTAATAGAGTTTTTTAGTTTGTAGCCTACATTTAGAGTTTTTAGTCTGTAGCCTGGATGCCAGTTGGCAGATTCCCGAAAAAATTCGAGTGCTAGCTACAAACTACAAAAAGTTAGACTCAATCGAAGATTTTGCAAAAATTTTTTCCGGATTTTCCGGTGGATTCCTGTTGACATTTGGGGGTACTGTAGATGATTGTTATGTTCTATTCGAAAGAGGAGAATGAGTTCTATCACATCCTAACACTATCATCTACCCTATCCCTAGATCTAGCCACTTAAAGGGTCAAGAACACGAGAAAAATCGCGATTTTCACACTTTTTCCGAATTAGTCCTGTTGACGCCGGGGGCACTGTAGTTAGTTTTTCACGATTATATTTTATCGTCTGGCTTCCAGTTTAGTGATTCCAATAAAATCGACGTACCAATAAGGACTCTGGGCTCTCCCTGGATGCGTACCCCATCACCGGTCAGTCCCGCGTGGTTCCGGATCACCTGAAAAGGGGGAGGGATTAGGGACCAAAAATCAGGGTGCGATGCGTAAACTGACAGCCAGACTACAGAATACAACTCTTAGAGTATGGCTACAGACTCCAGAAAAGCTACCAGGCGAACGATCCGGGTTCGACCCCGCCGAGGTTTAACTTTTTGCTGTTTGCGTGTTGAATTCAAATTTTGTTGGGAATTGCTAAATTGGCGTGCAGACTACAGACTACAATCCTTAGAGCGAGGCTACAAACGACATAAAGCCTCTAGGCGCATGACCCGGGTTCGAACCCCGCCCGGAGCATAACTTTTTGCTTTTTCAATTTAAATGCATTTTTCGATAGGAATAGCTAAACTGGCATCCATACTACGTAGTGCAACCCTGCCAATGGTCTCCGCTCGCCGCCGCCCCTGTACCTTGACTTGTGCCCTCGAGGCGATCGAGTCGACAATGTCCTTTCCGTGGCATATATGGGGATGGGGCGGCCGGTCGGGGTCTTCCATCAAAATATCCCGCACCACCAGAATACGCGGGATCTTCACGTGACGGTAGCGCCCCTGAAAATACAGGATTTCAAAGATAAACTACAAAAATGAGAAAAACGCCAAATTTTCGAAAAAATTGGTTTTTTGTAGTCTGTAGCTTAGGTTTAGCAATGGTCGTTTGTAGTCTGGCTGCCAGCTTAGCGACAGCTGCAAAAATTAGAGAACTAGCTACAAACTACGAATTGTTAGAACCATTCGAAAACCTCGCAAATATTCGGGTTTTTGTAGTCTGTCGCCTCGGTCTAACAATTGTAGTTTGTAGCCTGGCTGCCAGTTGGGTGATTGCAAAAAGAATTGGGAGTCTCGCTAGAAACTACGAAAAGTTAGACCCCAACGAAAATTTGACAAAAATCCAATTTTTCCGATCTTCCGCGTGATTCCTTTTGACATTTGGGGGTACTGTAGATGATTGTTATGATCTATTAGAAAGAGGCGAATCAGTTCTATCATATCCCAACGCTAACATCTACCCTATCCCTAGATCTAGCCATCTAAAGGGGTCAGAACACCCCGAAAATCGCGATTTTGGCACTTTTCCAAATCTATCCTATTGACGAATTAGGGGTACTGCAGATATATCAATTGTCAGTTTTCGCTAACCTGGCTGCCAGTTTGCGCATCCCCAATGAAATCGGCCTTCAAATTACACTAATCAAAAAGTTACGCCGAAGCGGGGCTCGAACCCGGGTCGTTCCCCCCCTGGTAATTTTCATCATTTTTTAAATCCTGACTAAACTTACGAATTTGCGTTCCCTCTGCTTCATCACGGAACACTGTGTGCACATCCACGTCACGTAGCCTGAAAGAACGGAGCGAATTTTCAAGGGACTCTGAAGCCAAAAAGGGGCGTGGCCTCGCTGTGGATTTGACTTCCCAGTCCCTTTAAAATGAGTTTCCACCGCTAAATCGCTTTCCCCAAAGAATCCGTGCTAGCCTGCCCTTGCCTCCATCAATTTCAAAGCCTTTAAAGGGACTCGGAAGTCAAAAAGTGGGCGTGGCCTAGCTGTGGATTTCTGGCTTCCCGGTCCCTTTAAAATAGATTTTCCACGCTAAATCGAATTGCCCAAAGGATCCCTGCTAGTCTGCCCTTGCCTCCATCAATTTCAAAGCCCTTAAAGGGACCGAGAAGTCAAGCAGTGGGCGTGGCCTTGCTGTGGATTTCTGGCTTCCCGGTCCCTTTAAAAGTAGCGTACCTGGCATATGTGCATAATTGTGTACCATACACCACTCGTAGACACGATTCGCATGCAGTCGACTCATGTAGAACATTATCTAAACGGGACCCGTTTTATCGATTACGCCATGAAAATCGCAATTTTTAAAATTTTTTTTATAAATTATTAACACTAATTTTTTGGAAATTTAATCGATTTTACAACCTCTGCTAGGCAGTCAGAAATATAAAACATTAAAAATGACAAAAATCAATCAATTACGCGATGAAAATCGAAAATTGGCAGAAAATCTGGAATTTTCCTAAAAAATGTTTTCGAAAACTCGAATTTTTGGTTTTTTTTTTGTATTTTTGCTAGGGACTTAAGCGTCAAAAATCTCAAAAATGACATATAACAATCGATTACGCGATCAAAATCGAAAAATTGGAATTTTCAAATTGTCCAAAATCGAAAAACCTGCCGGATTGCGGGTATTTTTGCTGGTCATGTAGATGGCACGGCCAAAGTCCTCGTAGACGGCTTTTGGCGGCTGAAAATGATCTTTAAATAATAATTAAATAATCGTTTTAAAGGGACCGGGAAGCCAGAAATCCACGGCCCGGCCACGCCCCTTTTTGGCTTCTTGGTCCCTTTAAATGGTTGGACATTGATGGACGCACCGGCAGGCTAGCAGGGATCCTTTGGGGAATTCGATTTAGCGCTGGAAACTCATTTTAAAGGGACCGGCCAGCCAGAAATCCGCAGCCCGGCCACGCCCCCTTTTTGGCTTCCTGGGTCCTTTAAAACCACAAAACCGGCTAGGGAAGGGCAGGCTAGCACGGATTCTTTGTGGGAAACTCCCCGGAGCAGAAAATCTATTTTAAAGGGATTGGCAAGCCAGCAATCCACAGCCCGGCCACGCCCCCTTTTTGCCTTCCGGGTTCCTTTAAATGCTTGGAAATTGATGGAGACGAGGGCAGGCTAGCAGGGATTCTGTGGGAAATTTTGAAAATTCCCAAAAATAATTTCATTTTCCAAAAAAAATCAAAGTTCCCGTTTTTGAAACTTTCGAAAAATATTAATAAATTTATTTTTTTGGTAAATTTTAATGTAAATTTCTGGAATAAATACGGTACCTCTGCGGGGCGAACGGGCAGAGACGTCGAGGGAATCGCGTCCGGTTCCGCAAAATCCGGCACCCCGTCCGCAAAGCTGAAAAACGGGTTCTGTTCTGTTAGCGGGGGGACCCAAATTTTGCCCAGTGATTCTCTACGGCCCTCTAGCAAAGCAAATAAAATAAAATTTTTGACTTTTTGATGAAAAATGTTTCAAAAATTATCAAAAATGTCCAAATTTTCGAAGTTTCAAAAATTTGCAAGTTTTTTTGCACTTTCTAGCAATCAAAAACTAAAAAAAACCCGAGAAAATACGTCGTATATTATCAAGAGGCAGATATGGGCGTAAAAATAAAATTAATCCCCCCCCCGCTAAGAAATCAGTGCCGGGCCCGGGAGAACTAGGGGGGAAACCACCTACAAATCGTCGAGCAGCAGCCCGCCGGCGTCACCGAGCAGTCCAGCGTCGTCCATTCGCCGAAAATTGCTTGCAAAAGGCTAAAAAACAATCGAAAAAAGGTTACAAAATTTCTGATTTTTTAAACTACAACCATTGCATCAAAAATCAAAAAAATTCAGTTTACAGGCCCAAAAACTCTCAGAAAGGAGCTAATAGCCTAGATAAATTTTAAAACGAGAATAATCGGTTCTTGTGTACAGGGACGTAGCGTAATACAGGCCCCGGGGGCCCGGGCCCCGCGGCCCCCGAAATCGGCCGGGGCCCGAAAATTTCATAAGGGGGGACCCTTATGTTTTTTATTTTCTCAAAAATTTTGCTGCCTGCGGCGCTATTTTTGCACGTTTTAACGGCTATTTGTAGAGCTATGTAACCTTTTTTTCAAAAATTTTTGCCTGCGGCACTGTTTTTTCGGCACTGTTTCGAGTTTTTTGGAAAAATTTTTTCGGGCCCCCCCCCGAAATTTTTTTCTGGCTACGCCCCTGCTTGTGTATTCGCGGGGGGAAACCAACTTTTTTTTGTCGGTCCTGGTGGGGATAGGAATCAAATAGAAAGTGTTTTCCATTGTTTTTAGCAAAATTTAAGCCTATTTGAATCGGAAAAACTTTTTAAAAAGTTGGAAAAACGCTTGAAAAAGTCGAAAATTTGGTCATTTTTGGGCCGAAAAAATTGATTTTTCGACCTAAACTTAAATTTTTTAATTAAATTTTGTAAAGTTTTTATGTTTAGGAATAGCTATAAACAATCTAGAAACACCCCCATTAGTTATATAAAAAATCAAGGCTTGGGCGGAAAAAAGTTCGGTTTCCCCCCGCCTATTTGAAAAGCACCCAAACTACAAACATAGCATCAAAAACCAAAAAATTTCAGTTTTTAGACCCAAAAACTCTCAAAAGGAGCTAATATAGCCTGTATAAATTTTAAAACGAGAATAATCAATTAAAAATAGCTGCAATAAGATGAAAAAAACAAAGGAATCCGAGATTTTGGGTTGTTTTCGATGAGGAGCCCGGAAAAACGGGCGATATCTCGTGAAATAAAGACTGTAGACAAAAGCGGACCGCAGACTCGGAATCCTCGCAAAAAACTGGACTAGGTGAAGCTTTTAAAGCCAGGCTTAAGCCCGGGAGGCGGGCGAAACAACGGACTTTTCCTTTGCCGGGGCGCCCCCGGGCCGAGGGGACGAGAGAGCACAGGAACAGGGCGGAAGGAGTACTGCCGCGGAACGCCCCCCGCTCCCCCCCGGCCAGTTTTTGCCTGTTTTCTTTCTCAAATCATAAACATTTCCGGTCAATCCAGATTTGATCTGGTGCAGAATTTCATGCTGATTCCGAATCTGTAATTGGAATTTTGAGATTTCCTATATTTCTAAAGTTACAAGCGATTTTTGGGACCAAAACGGCCCAAAAAGGCGGCACTGAGGGTGAAGCGTTCAAGTAACGCTAGTTTATTGTAGCCTGACTACCAATTTAGCGATTCCCCAGAGGATTCGGTGCCAGCCACAAACTAGAAAAAGTTGCGCAGCTTTGGCAAAAATCCAATTTTACACATTTCCGCTAGATTCCTGTTGACATTTGGGGGTACTGTAGATGATTGTTATGATCTATTCGAAAGAGGAGAATGAATTCTATCACATCCCAACACTGTCACCTACCGTATCCCTAGATCTAGCCAATTAAAGGGGCAAGAACACGAGAAAAATCGCAATTTTCACACTTTTCCAAATCGGTCCAACTGAAGATTTAGAGGTACTGTAGATGTTTTAAATGACATTTTGGGTATTCTGGACGCCAGTTGAGGCATTCTCATCAAAAAAATCGAAGCAAGCTTCAAAAGCAAAAAGTTAGCCAAGGCCAGGACTCGAACTCGTGGTCTGTTTTTCTGTAGTTTGTGGTTTTTCTGCAGTCCATAGCCGCTCATTGGAGCTTTTATTTTGTAGTCTGAATGCCAGTTTAACAACTACCATCAAGATTTGCATAAAAATTTCGGATTTTGGGGTTTTTTTTGGGAACGATAGGTCAAATCGTAATGTGGCGCCTTTCGGAGCGGTTAATCCATCTGGGCCGTCCCAAATTCAGGTATCTGCCAGATAGAGATTCCCACCCAACTGATTTCAGACGGCCCCTGCGCTTCGCGCGCCCCGTGTCGACGAGCTGTCCGCGCGGCGAGGGCCAAAAGGTACCAACCGTACACGCCATGCAATTCGCGCGAAAACTAATCCACGAAATTCGCGATTTTCGCGGTGGTTTTTGGTGTAGTTTGTAGCCCGTCTGCCAGATGTTCGATTTACGCAGTTGATTCTGATTTCCTAAAGCACCTCTGCTAGCTGTCCGCCTCCAAAGACTCGGAAATGCCCGATTCGGCCCTCATAGCGGCAAAAAAAGCGTTGAGGTGTTCTCGCCACCGCCGGATGTCGCGAAGCGGGCCCACATCGGACAACTCGACGAATATCACCGCCTGTATCGGCAATCGATTGAAGATCCCGGGAAATTCTGGCGGAACATCGCCGAGGAATTGCATTTTGAGAAGAGGGGAGACAAGGGTGCGTGCATTTTCGCAAAAAAATTGCTGCTAACACCCCTCCAAACTTTTGCATATTCTGGGATTACCTTAACTGACACGTAAACTACAGGCTACAAGCTTTGTTTTCAAGGCTACAAACTACAAAACAAATCTCTGGGGCGAAGGGCTCGGGTTCGATCCCCGACCGGGGTGGAAATTTTTGCTTTTTGGGTATAATTCATTAATTTTTGCGCAAAACATCTACCTGCCAGCCAGACTACAAAATACAAACATGGCCCCGAGGCTACAGACTACAAAAACGCTATTAGGCGAAGCCCGGGTTCTACCCGCCGCCGAGGCGTAACTTTTTGCTTTTTGGAATTTAACCTCCCATTTGGATTGGAACGATCAAACTGGAATCCAGACTACAAACTACAAACCCCCGCTCAGGCCTCGAGTCGAACATGGACTACCGGTTCGCGCCCGTCTTCGCCCGGTTCATGGCCGGCTCGACGACCAACATCGCGTACAACTGCTTGGAGCGGAACATCCAGCGCGGGTAGGGAGCAGATTGGCGACCAGACTACAGAATACAACCCCGAAAATGAGGCTACAAACTACGAAAATCCTGCCAGGCGAGCGACACGGGTTCGACCCCGGCCGAGGCGTAACTTTTTGCCTTTTGAACTTTTTGCAGATCTTGCCTTTGGAATCCTTAGACTGGCAGCCAGACTACAGACTACAGCTTTTAACTGGAGGCCACAGACTACAAAACCGGTGTTGCTTGTTGTTGAACGCCTTGGTGTTGAGGTTGGGCGAGCGTGTGGCGTACTATTGGGAGGGGAACGCGCCGGCCGACCGCCAATCCATCACCTACGCACAGCTACATGAACAGGTACCTAAACCCACGTCTAAGCCTCAGCGGTTCTGGACTGTTAGCGGTTGTTATCTTGTTGTTAGCTGGTGTGTGTTGTTACCACCTTTTCTCAAAAACTCAATCCTGAAAATTCGGCATTTTGCTGATTTTTATGGTTGTAGTTTGTAGCCCGTCGGCCAGAAGGACGATTCGCAAAAGCCAAATCGTTTTCCTACAGAATCTCGGCTAGCTAGCCTCCTTGAAACCCCGAAAAACGGCTATTTTTGGCTTTTTTTTGGTTCTGGGCCGTTAACGGGGGGGACCACTTTGTGTTTTTCCACCTATTTCTACCAGTTGATGATATATAGTCTATTTTATAGTGTTTTTTTGTAGTTATTGATTGCTAGAAAATCGTATAAAAAAATTTTTTTAATTCGAAAATTCGGAAATTTTGACTTTTTAAGAATGTTTTAAACATTTTTCACCAAAAATCTAAAAATCCCTTTAACCGCCCCACTTGCAGGTGGTGAACTTCTCGGCGGTGCTGCGCGGGCACGGCGTCAAGAAGGGAGATGTCGTCGCCATCTACTTGCCCATGGTCCGCTGGCTTTTTCGCGTTTCCAAAGACTTTTCCGGTTTCTGTAGTTTATAACCTGCACGTGTACTTGTACTTTGTAGTCTGGCTGCCAGTTTAGCGATTCCAGTCGAAAAACAAGCTGCATTATGACAAAAAAGCAAACCGTAACGACTCCTCGAGGGGTCGAACCCGGGACGCTCGCCTGATGGATTCTGTAGTTTGTAGCCTGTACGCAATGCTTGTACTTTGTAGTCTGGCTGCTAGCTTAGCCACCCCAACCAAAAAGGCCTTTCAAATCCGAAACAGCAAAAAGTTACGCCTGGCTGGGAGTCGAACCCTGGTCGCGCACCTGGTAGGATTTTTGTAGTTTGTAGCCGATAGGTAATGGGTGTAGCTTGTAGTCTGACTGTCAGTTTATCCATTCCCCCCAATTCCAGGTGCTCGAGCTGGCCGTGGCGATGCTGGCGTGCGCCCGAATCGGTGCCCTCCACAGCGTCGTCTTTGCCGGCTTTTCCGCCGAGTCGCTCGCCACGCGCATCGTCGATGCAAAGTAACGATTGTAGCATGTAGTCTGCCTGCCAGTTTAGTGATTCTCGATAGCATTAGAGTTCTAGATACAAACTACAAAAAATTATACCCAATTGAAAATTTCGCGAAATTCCAATTTTTTCTGATTTCCGCTAGATTCCTGTAGACATTTGGGGGTACTGTAGATGATTGTTATGATCTATTCGAAAGAGGAGAATGAGTTCTATCACATCCCAACACTATCATCTACCGTATCCCCATATCTGGCCACTTAAAGGGGGCAGAACACCCCGAAAATCGCCATTTGTTCTTTTCCAAAGTACTCCTACTGACGTCAGGGGGCGCTGTCGAGTATTTTCAAGCTTGTACTTTGTAGCCTGGAGGTCAGTTCAAGGATTCCGACAAAAATCCGGTCCCAAGAACCCAAAAGCTAAAAATTAGGCTGCGACGCTGGTCGAACCCGGGCCATTCACCCGATAGCTGCCTGTAGTCTGTAGCTTCGAAATAAATTTTGTAGTTTGTAGCCTGAATGCCAGTAGAGGGGTTCCAATAGA